ATAAACAGTAAGGCCACAACTATTACAACAGAGTTTATATATAGGTGCTGGGACAGCTTGTAGAATGTAAACACCGTACAAGAAGTGATCCCTCAACAAACACATCGCTAACGTTTATACAACTGTTGCTTCTAGAGAAAACCACAAGCAAGTACAAACCAAAACCCCAGCCTTACTGTGAAGATGCGCCGTCCTGTCCGGTCAAATGTGACACAATATACAGAAGACAAGTGTCCCAGAATCCTTTTGTGCATCTTCATGTGCTGGTATACAGCAGTGGGCACCAGCTGCCTAAGACGGTACGAACCATTCAGTCGACGGCCGTGGCTTGTTTCCACTGAACGTCAAGAAAGAAATTTACACATTAGTGAGAGCAAAAGTGACCACATCAATGCTTCTTTCATCCTCACAACATCAATGTTTATTTAAAAAAAAATAAACTGAATCATCTGCACAGTACCTTACTGTTTTAAACCTGGAAAAGTGTTTTGGATTTTCTATTTAAAATATACAAGGGTTTTCTTGCTCACCAATGTTAGGTGGGCTCCCATAGATAACTGGTGGCTCTGGTGGTCGCCCACAGTGAAGTGCAGCCAGTGCCGAGCCCTTCCACACAACATTTTTGCAACCTGGAAAAGGAGAAAGTGTCACATTCTACACATTGCATAGATAGAGCCATGTCTTGGGATTTTCTTTCATTTTCAGCACACAGGAGAGACTGCATTTCTTCAGGCTTAACAGGCAGTTCATACGTACACAGATGCCGTAAAGCATCTGTGTCTTTTCCTGACAGTATGGGTTTAAACGTAAGCACATCACTAAGGCTCACGACTTTCATACATACAGCACATGCACATACTCACTCTTGCTGGTACGAAGTAGATTCTGTCTGCCGGCACCGAGCAGGCTGACAAGCCCAGGCACGCTGGCAGGAACCTCCCTTTCCAGCAGAGGACAAACTCTGGAGCAGACCTGCAGCAGGTGCTCTGGACTGATGTGTCTGTAGAGTCTTACCTAAGCAAATAAACACATGCACACAGTAAAGGTCTCCGTTTGCACTCAAATTGATATGACACCACACCATCGGCGATGTGCAGAGCAGTGTGTTAAAAAGAGAGCGGGCTGTGAATGAGCCACTGCCAACTACTGATGAATCCAGACTTAGAAACACCCACCACTCGAGGGTTAGCGTTAGTAATGCCACCAATAAGAATTTAGCAGTTGCATTGAAAAATAAAATTTGAGAAGATAGAGATTTAGCCCACACTTAATTATAGCGTAAGTTGAATAAAATAACAGTTTATCATTTAGCATTTAAAAAGGACAAAACAATGTAAATTGACTTTTAAATCACGGAAAACAAATCTGAATGATCAAGATAAGCTAAGCACAAGGTCACAGTCCAGTCAAAAAATCAGATCCAGGATCATTAAAAAGCATATTAAAAAAAACACATTTTAATTAAATTGATAAAATTATATGTGCAACCAAATCCTTGCTGAAATGCAATGTGTCTCTTAAGAGACCACAGTGCAGCACAGCAGCAGAGCAGCAAAGAAGGGGGTGTGGCAGGAAACACAAGCACAAGTAGAATGAGAGCCACGCTGTGCTGGTCAGACCTAAGGACACACACTCCTGGATGGCCTACATATAGAGTGACAGAAAATAGGATGTGTCTAGTGATGCATGCAGCTCACTGTTTATGACACAGATATTACAGAGTGTTCATTCAGATAAAAAAAGACAGAGGTTGGTTTCTGACAGGTCTGATTTAAATGTATGCTCTGGATCAAATGAGCCTCGAGTTAAATGGTTCCACCTTCTACACAGATCCACACTAGACCTTTAACTGAACGCTCGGTCCCACAAACACGGAGGATAGAGGAGAGGGAGAGAGAAAGCGAGACACACACACACACACACACTTAATGACCCCTTAATTGCTTTCAACATCCTCCCTGCTTCAGAGACGTGATCAGTGTTTCCAAGCAAACAGGACACACACGTACACACCTTAAGCAAAACCATGAAAAACAAATGAATTTAGATGTATATACATAATAAATATGCAGCATTTACACCATGCTTGTAAAGGGTACTGGATTAGGTGCACACACACACCCCCACCCCACAACAGCACCTTCAGAAAGCACATGGTCTAATGGAGAGTGCAGGGGTTTTGAAAAAACAATGTCTTTTTCAATACAAATATTACACTGCTATATAAAACTTTACTCAGTGAAATAGATTAGTGTGGCGAAATGTACTATTTTATCTTATTACTATCTTATGCTGTATTAATTTTCAAAAAGATAATTAATAAATGAATATATTAATGGCCGTTATTGCACGATTTGGTAAAATGATTAATAAAAAATACTATTATAATTTATGCATATAGTAGTAGTCTCCCTGATCACTATGTATATGATTCATGCAAAATCAATCTAATTAATATACCTTAATTATTTTGCCTCAATTAAGTGTCCATTACTGCAACATTGCTTATTTTTTGCAGCCGCCAACTGCACGCAGCATCTCGAACAACCGTTGTTAACAAATATATATATAAATATATATATATATATATATATATATATATATATGATCGCTTTGTTTCTATATTCGCCCTGATAAGTAAAATAAGCCTCCGATGTATTTTTAATGGATGGAATTATGCACAATAGACGGGATGGAGGCTGAGAGACTCAAGACGGTAGGAGGAGGAACGGAGAGCTGAGTGAGGCAGGCGGGCAGGAAGAGAGCGAGAGAAAACACACACACGCAGGCAGAATGACATGCACTCTCGATCATTTCCTAAAACATCTACATTTAAATCCACTTCGAGGTGCATCACAAGCCATCGACCAGTGAATATCACTCATGCTTTCGCAGAAATATGTGAAAATCGAAAAAAAATACTGTGGAATAGATCGACTACGATTAATTGTTTTATATAAAAAAATATAAAAGTGGTAAATCAGTACAAAATTAAGAGATCGACATCCAGGTTTTAAGCAGGTCGAATCAGAATAAAAATGTGAGTCATGATTAATTCTCTCCACGCCCCCATGCGTAAAAGGCTCTTTAAGGCGAGTCCAGTTTGTTTACATGACATTATAATGGCAATTAATAACACGATTAAAATGCACCCGCTCCTAATGTTACCTCTCATCTCCACATGCAAAGACCTGCGACTTCCACCCGAGCTGGGACCTCCAACCTCAACAACTGCTCTCTCAAACAGGACTCCAAAAACAACCACAGCAGTGTCTGACAGCGCAGTGGAGAATTACTGAACAAACTGTTTATATTCTCCTCCGGAAAAGTCCTCCTTTCTAACTATTGTCCCTGAGTGTTATTCAGTCCATGCACAGAAATTATGGTTGTTGCAGGACAAGAGCGCCTCCATCTACTCTCTGGCTGCTGGCGCAGGGAGTCCCTCCTCCGGATCCTGGCGCTCCTACACAACAGCACTTATGACGTATCAACATTTCACACTTTTTCACAACAACTATTAAAACCTTCAGAATGGGCATGCAAACAAACCCGCACACCAAAGTGCACACAAGATCAGCCTTCAGCCCCCAGTGCCCCAAAACGACCCCGACCTGCAGCCAGCTTAACCAGTAAATCCCCCTTTCCACATTTGCCTTCACCACCTGATTTAAAAATTGCGGGAAATTCAATTTTTATTTTGCTCTCTAAAAACTTTTTCCTCAGTTATACAGCACCCTTACCAAATTTTCGTAGGTCCCAGGGTGTTCCAGCCCCGTCCAGTCCACTCTTTTGGGCAGCAACTAAAGTGGAAAAACATTGTTGAGTGTGATCAGCCGGGTCACAGATGAGCACAGTGATGTTTTTAAAGAGTAAATGATAAATCAGAAGAAAAGGCAACATCACAAAGTACAGTGCAGAGAGACACATCTCTCTCCTATTGCTTACTGCTTACCTCCTTCTCCTCCGCCTCCCTTATCAGGGTCTGAAAATAGGAAACAAATGCAATATTACTCTTCGTGACAATTTCAGACGTGTTATAAATTATCCTAAAATACATAAACACCGACCTCGGCGGCTTTTTGACACGGTCCAGCTTCTAGAAATCGGGCTATTAGGAAGTACAGTTCTGGTATGGTTGGAGGGAGAGAAGAGGACGGGGAGCTGCGTTAGAAGAGGGTATCGAGGAGATTGGGAAGGTATTAAAACACCCATGACACATTTCACCGAACTGCCTTACTCACCAGAAGTCAACTGCGCGATGTGTGTACTGTCTGAAGCCATTTTGGTGTTGTTTGCCAGGGCAGCGCCAGAGCCTGTGTGCTGGGTCTAGGTGGCTGCCCTGTAGCTGTCACTGTTTATCCACCAGGAAGAGGCAGCCTCCATTCAGCTACGCTCACATAAAGTCCCGCCTGCGTGAGGTATCCCTGCGCCGAGCAACAACTAGGGCCCGCAGTGCAAATTCGCTTGCAAAACGCTCTACTTTCTTGTCAATGCTTGATTGTCTTACGGTTTTGGTCCAGAATGTGCAGCTGGGGAAATTTTTACAAGGGCTGATAACGTGTAGATAACTGTTTGTTTGCACCCCCTCCCCCTCAAAGGAACAGGCGCAAGCCCCCTGCGGATGAACACACGCGGCGTGTTTCACACACTCCAGTGTAGAAGGGAGGTAGAAATGGCAGCTTGCAAAAGGAGTGTACGCGCTGCTGCAGAATGCTTTTTATTCTTTACCTACGCTACATTTGTTGTGCCTGTTGTAATACATTAGTATTTACTACATCCTTAATTATTGTGCAATTTTGCGCAATGAAAATTTTAACGTTATTATTATTTTTGAGATGCGGATGTAAAACATGGCTCCCGTGCTTGTTACGGATTCCTCTGCGTTTTTAGGGTTTCATCAGCGTTTCATCAAGACATTTGTTATTGCTGTGATATTCCTGCGTATTTATCTTGAACTGCTGTAGTCGTTATTGCGTTGTTTTTGTGTAACTGCAGGTTAATTTAAAATAAAAAAACACCCACTCGCTATTTGAGTCATTTTCTAAGGAAGTCGTCCATTTCTCTTCCAAATACAGCCAGGCAGTAAAATGGGGGAAGGGTTAGGGAATAAGGAGAATGCAGCTTAATGAATGAAACCTCGTGAGTTACAGGAATTTATTGGCAGCGAGACATTATTGCAAGAGGATCCATCTTCAAGCATTAATAAAGAAATGGTGGCACTGCTGCACACAACCTGTGATCTTAACACGAGATGTGTGAATAAAAGTGACCCACACTAAGGAGCCTTTAAATCACACCAAATCATGTTTCTCCAAACACACCAATTAAACAATTAAATCATTCAACGCAACACCTGAGTAAAACAAAAACTATGTTTTATTTAGTGCATAAACAGGCTTCGCCTAAACAATAGGGAATGTCAGTTATTCCCTTAGTAGTTGTTTTTCAGCCTGGCTATAACACCTTTTCTAAAAATAAAAATTGGATTTAATGTGTGCAATAATTTTAAATGTGGACACGTGGATTTTTGTTTTTATTTTTATATGTATATAAGGTAAAATAGAACATGGCAGTGTAACAGCAATAATGGTCTAAAAAGTGTGTGAACACTGGAGGTGTACAGAAACAAACATCTTTTGGAAAATTGATTAAAACATACAGGGTCCATGCAGACACCAGCACTTTTGCGATTTTTAAGACATGAATACACACCATAAATTTAAAAAAATATATAAACTCAGTTCAGATCAAAGTAGTAACATTGTCATTATTGCATGCTTTCTGCTAACAGAGTATGTGCATGGCTCCACTTTATTTTAGTATTTGTCTTTTGACAAATGTTCCTGCATATTTCATTAAGATTGATTTGTTTGAAAATGAATTTCAGTGTATTATTTAAAAAGCTGTGTATTTTCACTCTGAGGAAAAACTAAGAATGATATCCATTACTTTTATAAGACGTATAACGATCCCTTATGTGTGTCACTGCATGTTATTACATGTGTTATTGTATGTAATGTATGTTAGTACTTTTTCTGTTTTTTTTCTTTTCTTACAGGTTTATTTCCCAAATAAAGCAGATCAACAAATATTTGTGCATGAATCAATGTTGTTGATTTTCTTAATAAATTAAAATTTTTGACATCAGCAATAGATAAGAAGTTCAAACCTTCACTGAAAACTCTCCAGGGAAATGACCCATCATCAAATTGCTCAACAGCCATATTAGCTGCAAATTTAATGTCTGCATACACAAACTGACTCTCCATTTTTATGACCTTATTATGCTGTAATTCATCATTTTACAAAAAATCAATTTATATTGTAGCTTAGGAGACAATCAGACACATTTTATGACCAAAATGCAGCTGTAAAACCTCAATACTGTTTTGACTTCTGCCTCCATCTCTATTAATATTACAATCTTGGAGAAACATTGACGAATCCACAGTGGGTTAGCACCAACTTTGAATGTATTAATTTAATAATTTATTCATTAAACAGAACATTACATCAAAAGTACAACACTAATGTGATGCCACATGGCCTACACAACTGTGTCAATAGGACAGTCACAAAAAGCCCAAAAGCTGTCAGATAGTACTTGACCTCATCTTTGTTTTTAATTACGCTTCCTTGCTTTAATTGTATCTAACTGTCAGCTGTGACAGTTGGTTCTCTACACCTCTATTCCATCTTTTATTCAATTCCCTGCAGTTGATTTATACATCACCTAAAGTGTAGTTAGGATTGTGCTAAATGACATGGCCACAGGGAGGCATGCTTCCTCTGCAATGCTCAGTAGAGTAAAGGACATGTAGGGTCAAAGGTTATCCAGAGGGCTTAGTGAAGTTCACACTTTCATTTTTTCTCACATAGACAGAAAGTAATGATAACAAACTTAATTAAACGTCCCCAGACATTAGGATCAACTCTAATCAAACTCTACAATGTCATTTAATTAACTGTTTAATGAAGCAGCTTAATTTGTACATATACACAATAAAATGTGTGCTCTGCATTTAACCCAGTGGAGCAGTGGCCTGGACTTTACTGGTATTTACTCAATGCACCCAAACACACAAGAGACTGGGATTTGAACCAGCAAACCTCCAACCAGCTTGAGTTATTAACATTTGCTGCTCGGGTCTTAAAAATAAAAATGGTATTTTAGGAATATAGTGAATTGACTCCAGCCATCCAGCCATTTTATTAGTATATGTTTTACTACAGATTTTAATGCATAGTAAATGTGTATGTTAGACAGGATACATTTGCCTTTACATGATTATGCTCAGGCTCATGTATGAGCAAAGGCCATGGGTTACCATGAGCCCCATCTGCGCCATTTTAATCCACAAGGTCACATGAACATATTGTATGGATTTTTTAATTTTGTCAAATCTGTTGACTTCTCCCTCCAGAACTTGTCCACATGTTCAGATAAACCAATCACTGGTCTGCCTGGCGACGGCCAATAATGCAGTGAAAAGACTTCCATTGGCCTCCACCACTCTAACAACTGCTGACCTTTCACTTCCTGACACAGCAGTTATATTTAACACATCACACACACACACACACACAAACATACTGTTCATACAACAGCGAGAGCTTCTACGAACATTTTCGGTGCTCGTAAAGACATATTATTGCAAACATTCCTAAAAACAGACCACACATCCTAAGGCTGCTTGTTGATTTTGCCGTACAGGTACATAGAAGATGGCGTGATCTTCTAGTTGTAACTCGTGTGTTATACCACCGACCAGCCGCTGGCCCCTATTAACCCTGAAAGAAGGGTTAAGTGGTAGGAAATGGACAAATGCTTGAAAATAGGCTGCTGTAAAACTAGAAAAGGAGACGACAAAAGAGAAAGTCCAAACTGACATCAAATTTTTGTTTTATTTCAAAATATTTTCCCAACAGAATGAAACTACAGGGTCCAAAGCCAATAGTCATCTAAAACAGAAGCACCACTCATTATTGCTATGTCACTCTGCTGCGTCCGGGGTGGGATGGGATGGGGGGGAGTGATGTAAAGGAGCAAAGTGAACAATGTCAAACAGACTCACGCAAACATTCATGCCCATACACACACATACAAAAGGAGCAAGGTGAAACACAATGGATGTGATTCTGAAGTTGTTATTGGTTGTTTTTGTTTTTTTTTCTAAAAAAGCTGCACATTATACTACATGGTGACTGAGGTCTTGGTTTGTTGGAGCTCCGCAGGCGAATACTGCTGACATGTTATTGCACCTGCTTGACTTAAACTGAGAAATGTCAGGAGATCTAACATATCTTCTTATTCGTCAACATGCCTGATTATCTGGATGCTAATTTGTTGGGTGTTTATAACAAATTCAAGGAGCTGGTTTACAGATGACCCAGTGGCCCAGCTTTAGCCCCACCTACAGGCACAATGAAGATCATTTGCAGCTGCCCAGTGAAACCAATTCACTTGTGAGGCGTAATGGACAGTGTTGTAGAACGGAGGATGGAGGAGAAGTGAACAGAGACATACTGTGGGCGGTAAGATGGGAGGAGACAGAAAATACAGTATGGGTGGAGGGGTGCTGGTTGTCCATCTCAACTATCACAAATCTAAAAAAACCTGCATGGTACAAAAATCATCAATAAAAAAAGATGCTTTGCTGCCATGGAGTCAGAGGAGACGAGCCTGCGGACGCGTCCGTTTCTTTATGCCTTCTCATCAGCTGCCTCGTCCGTTGCCTCAGTTACCTGGAGGGAGAGTTAAGGTGTTACGTCACCATTCTAGGTTTTAGAAAAGCCACTGAAGAGTTGAATCACAACTTTTGGTTTGCTTGTTTTGCTTTGGGTCACTTATTTTCAACCCCTTCCCGTTTTATAAATGTAACAGTTTTAGTCTTTGGCCAGCTGTAGTTAAAAATAACCTTGATAACCTGAAATGAGGCCACGTGGCCTTCTTCTAGGTTACAATGTTTTTTTATTAATTATTATTCTTTCAACAACAGATTTTATTCCACATACAAAATGTATAAAAAATATTCATTGTTAAACATGGGTGAAATTTTAGGATAAGGGCGACACAAGCTTGTTGAATTTAGAATCTTGAAGATATATAAATAAGCCTCACTTTGCACACCAACTCTCTGCTTAGAGTCATCAGGATGTAAACATGTCGACCTAACAATCTTCAACATTGCAAATCTTTTAACTGAACTAAAACACTGAACAGTAGCCAACATCCTGCTGCGTGTACACATTTGTCCTTGGCCCACTTCACTGCACACAGCAAAAAAAAAAAAAAAAAAAGTCAGAAATTCTCTTTGACTGTCCTTACTTTCATTCTCCCCGTTGTTGAATCAAAGACACACACACCACCGCAGGGCACACTGGGTTAATGTTTGTCCCATTATTGGGCAATTACACAATTAAAAACACTGCATGTTAGTCATCGAAAACACACCGTCCGCCAAATCGACACGATCGGTCGTACCCTTAACTTTAACAGTTTCACTCTGCCCTCTGACCGACATCAGGGAGGGAGCTGCGCTTCTGAAGGATGACACATTGACAGACGTACGAGACACGTAGATCTGTGTGTGTGTGCGTGTGTTTGAGTATGTGTGTGAGCATTCAAGCAAGGATTGAGTTGTGATTATGATCAGTGACAAAAACCACATGTGTGCGTATACATATGGTAATGTTTACACATTAACAAACAAAAGGAGTAGAAATTGTTATTCTCTTTTTTTCTCTGAGTGAAGTCATCATTGATTTAAAAAAAAAAAAAAAAAACATATTCCCCCCCATCGTACCTCATTGGTCTTGGTGTCTCCGTTCTGGGCAGGACCATCTTCCTTCTTTCCCTTAGCGCCACCTTTCTTTGCCTTTGTCCCCTTATCTTGGGCCACTTTCTGCATGGACAGCACAAGAGGAAACCTTAGCATTTTATTGTATATAACAGGCTTCATGTTGTTTTTTTGTATCTATTTATTCATCCCATTTTTTCCTATGAAAAAAGACTGAAGTCATTTGAGGGTGGGTCTCATTTGGACGTGAGGTTTTGGCAAATATTGTGACATATCCCAATTCCTTTAGTGTAACTCTCTCATGCTCCTCTGGATTTGATTGTCTTTAGTCTGAAAGGATTGTTGAGGCTTTAGGCCAGGTCAGTCAATAGCAGTCACTTAAGTCTTTGGAGATTCACCAGGTTAAAGAGTGATTTGGATCATTGTTCCAGTCTAAGGCAAAGAAAATAACTTTCTGTATTGCTGCCGACCACTTGGATATTTCAGAAAGTTCTAGTTTTGTCTCATCAGATTAAATGATGAACATTTAAGATGAGCTTGGAGATGTCTTTTCTGACACTATGCTAAGAGCTTGGCAGCTGTTTCAAATATTTTCATGAAAACATCAGTTGATAGAGTTTATTTTAGTAGAAAAATTATAAATGAGCCTTCTGGGCGTAACAGCCATAGTTTTGATGCACACAAACAAGCAGTGAGAAACTTGCAACCACCTGCATTTGTCAGTTGTAAATTAATGGCGCGGGTGTGTGTGTGTGTGTATGTGTGTGTTTTGTTTTGTTTTACCTTAACAGCGGCCTTCTTAGCCTTGGCCTCAGGCTCGGATGGAGCAGGTTTCTGCAAATTACACAAATGCTTGTTAGGACTGTTTAAACTGTCCTTGTTTGACATTAAAGTGGATCTGGACTATAATTCTTTAGTTGCTATTTATTTTTGCTCTTTTTGAAATATTTAAGTACATTTTCTTATTATGGGAAATTCAAACCCAATATAAATTTAAAACCCACTGATTGGTCTGTAAAAAGTCTGTGTGAAAAGGGAACATGCATGCATGCAAGTCAACATAGAAATCCCAACTCTGATAAGGACGATTGTCTGTTTAGCGAAGCTGCATGAATTCATTAAAATCCACCCGGAGAACTGACGTTACATCATGTGATATTCATTGCTCCTGATAAAAATCATCGTGTAGTACAGTCATGCAGACTTCTACGCTATATTAAAAAAAAAAGTTGCAGCAACGTAGCATAACAGCCGGACAAGGACGACAGAAAAAAAAATACATGCATATTGTACATACGTGCAACACTGAAGCAACACAGATATATATATATATATATTTTTGCACAGATAAAGCCACACAGATGAAAGAAGGTAGGACAGGGATGGAGGTGAAGACAGTGTGTGGAGAACAACACTTACCACTGACAATCTCTCTGACCGTCTGGTTGGCTACAGGAGCAAGGCATAATCAGAGAGAGAGAGGGAGAGAGAGAGGGGGGGGGAGACAGTAAGTGACAGGGAGAGATCAGTTGTATTGTTATGAGCCGAACTGCTCAGTGACTGCTCCAAGGGTAACACACATTCATCTGTCATGTGTCACTCCCTCAATGTGTTAAACACAGCACACAAACCAGGGTTCACACACCCACACAAGGAACGCACGTAAAAAAAAAAAAAAAAAACAACAAAAAAACATGTACCTCTTGTTTTGGTTTTGTGGCTTTGGAGGTCTCCTTCACCTCAGCCTCCTCTGGTGACTGCAGTTACACATGAATTACATTTATTAGGCAACTGTGTACAGCCACACACATGAAAATACTCACTCAGAAAAACAGTCATTTGGATCTCATCCACATAAATTATTTTTTTCAGTTACTTTGAGGTCAATTATTATTATTTAGGACTAGTGCAAATGATTATAAATGGCTCAGCAGATGTGGAAAAGGAAAAAAACAACAACATGAATTCAAATGCAATTATTGGGTAACTGAGCCAAAATTGATTATCTCTATTTACATTTTTTAGCAATACAGAGGAAATGTGTTGGTTGAAAACTAGTGGCGTTATAAATTTTAACTACTCTCTGAAAATACACAGTCACAATATAATGCGTGAAATAATGATAAAGGTCACTGGAGAAAACCATTGTTATTGTGTTTAGACAGTCATTAGACTGTGAATAAAACCTTTGCTGCTCTTCCTTTGGTTTATCATGACAGTTTCACACTGTAACCTATACGATACTGAATATGCATTAAACAATAGGCAGATGTTACTATTATTAATAGATTTAATATTGGCTGCACGTTAGTGAAGATAATAGGATCAGCCATTGGCTGCATTAAAGACTCCTTGTATTTAATGCAGCCAATGGCTGGGCCTTTCAGCATCCACTGAACATTGAATAGGATGCTGGATTATTCTACTTCAATATTGCTACAAAAACACATTGAGTCAAAAATGAATGTCACTGACTACACCAATTAAATTTAAATATAATTATTCATGTAAACAGCTGATATTTTTCTCTTATTTTGTTAAACACACCACACATGTGCACCATTTTAACTAGTACCACAACTACTTGATTGCTTGACTGTGAAAACCAGCTCACAGCCACTTCAATCAATTCTGTGTGAAATCCTACAATAAAAAAAAAACAACAGATGTACAGCCAAGGTATCCGTATAATCCTTATTTTTATTTCTGCATGACTGCCGCAGGACCTTGTGTCTATTTGTTTTGCTCTAAGTTACTGTACTTTCATTAAGATTTCACTATTTGTTTAATCAAAGTGTGATTAATCGGTTAATTGTTTGTATTTACTGACATTTTTCCTCAACGGTGATCACATTCACTCCATAAATCAGACTATAAACCTAGAAATCTGGCACTCTGTTTAGGTAAAATTTAAATGAAATTATATACAAATTTATGTATCAGTGATCCAGATGTTGGCTATTTCTGATATCACTAAATTTCACTAAAATCAAAAATATTGTAGTGTATTTGCGCCACTACAACAGGATTACTCAAATAAACAAAACTATAATTTCTTGATTTTAAGATATATTACATTTATTTACAACAATAGGTTGATCAAATATAATGATTTTATTATGTTTTTGTTTATTTTGACACCTTTCTACATGTTTTTTTTTTTTTTACATTCAAGACCCAATATTTCCGCTGAAGGCAGGTAAAAAAATGTGTACGACCGCGCCAACGTATACACACAGTGGTGTACACACACAATGTTTTGTCAGCCTGCAGGTTGCCCATCGCATCATTTGCATGTGGGGGACCTCCGCCCCTGCAGGGCCCCCATTCTCTGTCCTCAAAGGCGAGTGTGCGCAGACAAAGGCAGGTTTTAGATGCTGGAAAAGCACTGACACAATGCACCGCAGCCTGTCGGGCTCTGCTGTGTAGACAGTGTCACGGTCTCTGTTAACACGGCAGCAATTGTCGCTGATCCGCGCTTTCTTTCCTCATTCCTTTCTCTTCATCTGGATCGGGTTTGTTCAACCGACTTGGCGCCTACCATTCCTGACGAGCAGCGAATAAAAATAAGACGGGGAGGTGGTTATCTTTCCCCCCGAATGTCTTTACATTATTCACTACCTGTAAATATTCTCCGACGCCTCAATGGCGCTCAGATTACTAGTCATTACGCACGTCCCCTACTGGTTTTACGCATCCATTTATCCAGTGGGTCGATCTGACTTTCACCAGTGCGCACAGTGGACCGGGAAATGACAAGTAAAACGACCTCAAGAACGGCCATTGAGATAAGCACAGGGAGGTTTACGGTGTAAAGGGATCAAATGTTGTTGTTTTAAAACACCACACACACAAACGACGCAGTAAACAGATCCGGAGGCTTTAGATCAACAAGACGCTTCCCCAAACTTTGGCATCACCTCACCTGCCTCGACGTCGCCACTGAAATCGCGCACCGCTATTTTCGTCAAAGCAGAAAAAAACTACATTGAAGTGAGCTGCACGGCACAAAACCACACTCACCTTTCTCTTCGGCATTTTACGCGTGATATATTATCCACAGATCGCGGTAATATATATATATATATATGTAAAGTCAAACTATACGGCGCAAGAGAACTGAATTTCAACTACCTCGTATTACAGGATCAATATCTAAACACCTTCGGTAATATGTTGATTATATGCACTCCCCAAAACTCTATACCCCATCGGCCATTGGACAGAGGATTCAAAATCATCTCCCGTGCTGACTCCCAATTGGCTCATCGGGCATCTGTGTAAATAATACATCGACAGTGATTGGCTCCGCGCCCTTTGTGCGCAAATCGCACCAGACAGCGATGGTTGAAAGGGAAAGTGGAGAGCGGCCAATGTGAGCCAGGGCCGGCTCTCGGTGAATCTGGGTAATGTAGGAGAAAAAGAGAAAGAAGAGCGAGAAAGAGTGGGAGAGAGCTGTAAATAAAACACAAAGGACCAGAACAACGGGGACAATGGAGCAGTGGACCACAGACAAGCACCAGAAAAGTATTTATGGATCTAGAACTGTCTCAAAAAGAAATACACAAACAAGGATTTACAAATGTATTTTGAAAATTCACCAATGTATTTGGAATATTTACAAATGTATTTTGAAAATTCACAAACGTATGCATGTAAAGATGTTTGTTAGCTTAATACAATACATTTGTGAATTGTATAACCTGCATTTATAACGTGCTTTTAATTTGTAAATCTCCCTGCATTTTTGTTTTGTTGTGGATTCGTCTAGCGGCGACCAGATAAACAAATGCATTTTTTCTACATACCATCAGCAGCCAATCAGTTGTCTCGTTCGTTTGCAGCCAATCACACGACTGTATGCTCATTAGGTGCTTATGTGACGTCACTTCACCGCGCCACAGATTAATCTGCCATAACAGAAATGGCGTCTGGAATCGGCAGTGGAAAGCGTTTGTGTATAAAGAAATAGAAGGAATAACACGAGATACGAAGTTGTGTGCTTTACTAAGTAATATTTCGGAAGTACAATAACGCCATTCATGCATACATTTGTGGATCCTTGTTTGTGCATTTATTCTTTATGAAACTGTTCTAGCTCCATAGATAATGACGGCAGTGCAATACAAAAACAAAAGTACTTGAACAAAAGGGACAACACAGTTTCATACAATGGATGGTTTCCTCGTGCCCATTCTTTTAAATATACGTCTAAAATAGCGAGAGAACACAAACTGATTAGCACTAACTTTCTGACCAGTATGTTTATATGTGTAAAGTGTGTATAGTTGCATATAAATTACGCCCAGTAGGCTAAATCAACAGTCAATTTAGAAGCTAATTAAATATTCTATTTTGACGAAAGACTATTAAGTACACGTTTTTTAATGCAAGGAGATATCCCTGTTTTAAGTAAAAATCCAGTAACCAATACAAAACCAGGAAAACAAATGTCTTGAGAAACTACAGAATAATTCTTTTCACAAGTTTTGAGAACAAATATTAGCCTGAGAGACTCATTTTTATGTTTCACCAATACAATGACAAAACTACTCTGTAACTGATAGAACAACATTCTTGAACAACAACACAATAAATATAGAACTCCCAGGTCAAATGGTTTTAAGTCTTGTCACTGTTACGTGTGGACATCCCAGGAAGCAGACAGGGCCCAAATGCAATACCAGGAGAGACCCTTCACAAAATGTAAATAAACAAAACAGGACAAGGCAAAAAAAAAAAAAAAATCCAAAAAACTATCATGCATGGACTGCAACAAGGCATGCAATTTTCTTTGTAACACAGAATATTAGAAACACAACACTCACAAACAGCTACAGAACAATGATCCCACAAAGACAGGGTGCGTGAGAGAGGTATATATACTTATGTACCAGGTGACAAAAGTGAGACTAATCAGAGACACAGGTGAGCGTGATGACACTAACAGGAAGGGGAAACAGACAGCCCTAACAGTCACCAATCATTTAGTTGCATAAAAAGTAGTAGTGAATAATAGCTACCAGGTAAATGTATCGTTTAGCAAGAGGCTCTGTCAAGAGAAATGTTACAATGGAAATAAACACATGCAACATACATTAACATACAGTAATAGAAGATAGTAGAAGACAAAACAACAATAACAACAATAATAAAAATAATATTAATAATTTATAAACTTGTTGTGATTTCTTTATTAATTAACTTACTTATTAATCACTTGCCCCAGACGATTCAAATCAATGGTACATTATCTGTTGTTTACTTAATAGTCATAGTCAACACATTTATAAATTATCGACAGATTACGTAAAACAAAAACAAAACAAAAAACTGTAAGGAAAGCAAATTAATAGCTATGGATTGACAGTAATAGTACCCGAATGAGATGGAGCAAACTGATCTGTGTGTGGAGCAGGGAGGCAGATTATACTGTGTCAGGAATAGGCTGAGAGCGACCACGCAGGGACATTGCTGAGATGCCATCTTTCTCTATAACTAAGTCCATGAGCTACTGCCAGGTCGGTTACATGGGCAGTGCTTCTCTGACCTCTTGTGGACATTTATTGTAATTACTTTAGTAGTGCGTACATAAAATATCTAAACTAAAATAAAGCTAAGCTGTAGTATTTTTTTAACCATTTAAATAATGAAAAATATTAAAATAGTACAATAGAATAATAAGATAAATTTTAAGGTAAACGCATTTTTGCTCCATATTTTTTCGACGTGCAATGGCCCCTTGTTGTCCAGTATGTATATCAACAGTTGTTGTAGTTTGCAACACTTATATGGTGTGCATCTGTAAATATGGGTTACGCACGATGTTGATTATTATTATTATTATTATTATTATAGTTGTTGTTGTTGATGATAATGTTGATGTTGTGAAGAAGGGCTGACACCATGATGTCTCCTTTTCTTCCTTCCACCCCCTCCCTTCCTGCTCAGCCTACATTACGTCATTGAGACTTGTGTGCACTTGTCTGTCGCGCTGTAATTTCTGTGATGCAGCTCTGTATTAGCGGAAGCGTGCACTTGCAGGACGCAGCCTTTTGTCTTCATATGTTCTAGCCTGGCTTGATATCTGCTAATAAAGCAGTCAGAGAGCTTGACGCCTCAGTAGGAGGTGAGCAGGCCGCTGGACTCCCCTTAGACCCTCTGACCAGTGCAGGCTGTTTATCTCTGCGGCCAGCGGAGCTGGATCGAGCCGGTGCAGGATCAGATAACAAGGTGAGGTTGTTGTTGACTTCAGCTACGGTGTTTTTTTTTACGTTTTGGTTTTTACTATTTCTTTTGTTTAATGACGCATTTACCGGTGTGGAACCACACACATTGTTGCAGGTCCGTCTGCCTGCTGTCACTGCAGCACTGTGTGACTGTGAGGAGGAAGCGTCATTACACTGTAGTGACAGTGATTGTATCATAGGATTGACCAATCTGCCTTGTGACAAACCATGTCCTGTTCTGTAACGTGATATTTTATTTGCTTCAGTTTCCTCTTACTGATTTCTACTGCCCATCTTAACACATCGTCATGTCAGCAGCATGTTTATTTTAAACAAAAAATGTCACGATCTCAAATATGGATCCTTTCTCCTGATGCTAAATATGTCAACAATTGTCCATTCTTGGAGTTTTTCTTGTGATTAATTAATGTGTTCTGATCGGTTCATCAATAATGGATCCTGTCATATGGAGATCACTGATCAAAAGTAGGTCACACCTCCTGACTTCCTGTTCCTGCAAGAGCCATCTGTAGCTGCAGGACTCCAAAACCAAAATAAACTTAATAAATAATATTCAAAATACACAGTCACTCAGGGGCCTCATCAGTTATCGGTGTTCTGTTAAAAAAAATCCCTGATATTTTTGTGTGTTTTTTTCTACTACAGCGCCACCATGTTGGGCTTCTTGAAGAGAGAAGGCTGCGATTCTTTGATCTGCCTGTGGGCCATGCTGCTGTTGCTCCCCCTTCAGGTCTCTCCCCATGGTCATGACCAGAGTGGGACCAGAGGCCACAGTATTCCCGATCGTCCAAAGCTGCTGCTGGTGTCTTTCGACGGCTTTCGCTGCGATTACATCTACCGGGTTCCGACACCGAACTTCCACATCCTCAAGGACGAGGGGGTGATGGTGGATCAGGTGGAGAACATTTATATTACTAAGACATTCCCAAACCACTACACACTGGTGACTGGTGTGTATGCAGAGACGCATGGCATTGTAGCCAATGAGATGTTTGACTCCAGCCTGAACCAGTCCTTCTCCATGGAGACCGACAGTCGTTTTGATTCTCACTGGTGGGAAGAGGCAGTGCCTCTGTGGGTGACAGTTCAGAAAGCCGGACGACGCAGTGGGGCTGTGATGTGGCCTGGAACAGATGTGAAGATCCACGGTGTGTACCCCTCGAAATATCTCCCCTACAACTCTTCGGTCTCCTTTGAAAGCAGAGTGGAGCAGATTATTGAATGGTTCTCCGGTCCTGAAGAGGAGGCGGTGGATTTTGGTGTCCTCTACTGGGAGGAGCCTGACGAGAGCGGCCACAGGCTGGGTCCTCAGAGTTCCCAAATGGACGAAGTCATTGCTGGGATTGATGAGAAAGTTGGCTTCCTCATTAATGAGCTAAAGAAAGCCGGGTTGTATGAGAAGATGAACCTGATAGTGACCAGTGACCACGGTATGACGCAACTTTTCGCTGATAACATCATTGAACTGGACGAGTATGTCAGCAGGGACCTGTACATGTGGGTGGATAAGAGCCCAGTGGTGGGAATCCTACCAAAAGAAGGTATCGCTCTCAGACAATCATTACTGTAGCTTAAGAAATGCAACTTTATTTATGCTTAAAGTAGCAAAGTAAATTTATTTGTTCCTCTTTGCAGGTAAGCTGGAGGAGGTTTACAACAAACTGTTGGATGCAAATCCAAACATGATGGTGTACAGGAAGGAAGAAATGCCCCCACGTTACCATTATCAACACAACAGCAGGATCATGCCCATCATCTTGGAGGCCAAAGAAGGCTGGACCATCATGCAGAACAGGACCGGCCACTTCATGTGTATGTGTCACAGCTCGTTACACTGCCTCATGCAACTGACACAGTGGTTTTAATTTTTTTTTTTTTAAATGATAACATACATCAGATCCTATTTATAAATTCACTGATATATATTTTTCAATGTCATTCCAGCTGTAAACAGTGTGTAAAAATACATTCAAATTACTGCTACCATTCTCACTGAAAAAAGTGAAAAGTTTTTCTGTAATTACACTGATGCCACTTCTACTCACTGTTGTGAATGTGGTGATGCCACAATGTTAAAGGTTTTCAATTATGCAAAATTCAAATACATTAAGTATGCATGTTGATCTCTGGTTTAAATCAGAGAGTCAAAGCCATTGTGCTCTATTGGATAGTTGCTGCCATCAGTGCTTAACAATATTAATCTTCTCATAGAGAATGCTGTCAACAAGGTAGTAGAGCTGATACATAATGTTTTATGCCGCTGTTGGTCAGTCCAAGCTTCAACCACAGCTTGTTTTTCATGTCCCTAATTTTAATCTCCACTTCTGCTTTTGTGTTGTGTCTGTGATTTATGCCGGAGCAACATTTAGATAGAGCCGAGCAATGATAGCAGTAAATCATGATGGACAGCAGCGACCGTATCTGTTGCCATAAATCGACTAAAACTAAAACTGCTGTGTGAGATACAACTCTTACCTTGTGTTTTTCTGCCTGCAGTGGGAAACCACGGCTACGACAACACCTTGCGCAGCATGCAGCCCGTGTTTGTGGCCCGCGGACCTGCATTTCGTCAGAATCATGTGAAACCCTTTATGCGCTCGGTCGACATTTATCCACTCATGTGTCACATCCTGTCTGTGCGGCCCCTGCCCAACAATGGCTCCCTTCTAAATGTTCAGGACCTGCTGGCCCCAGAGCCTGTAACATCCACGCCCAGTGTCCCGCCCAGAGCGGAAGAATACTCCTATGCCCCCGTTGTGGGCTGTTTTCTCAGTGTGGTGATGGTGATTGGATTCCTCATGGTATTCATCAGAGAAGTGACGCTCAGGCAGCTGCCCTCGCTTCAGCACAGACGCAGGGAGATGTCACAGCCCTTGCTGCAAGAGGACTTGCACCTGTAGCTGAAGACAACGGACGCACGGTGTCGATAAAGAGAAGAGGAGAGACCGCTCCCCAAGGTAGCTCGCTCTGCCCAGAAGCATCCCCCCAACGCCTCCTTCACACTAATAATAGTCACCGTGTGGCTCTCTTATTAAATGGAGAGCAACAGAATCTAATCCCACCTTCTCACAACATACAGAGTTTTTTTCCAGGCGTGTAGGAAATGTTTAGAGACTGCTTCTGGTACGGGCTTCATCAAGGAAATTAACTTGTTAAATTTGCCTTACCGTGGCTTTGTTTTGATCGTGATCTTTAAACCATCTCATCCTTTTCATTTAAGTGCAAAAGAAACTAAAAGTGGTAGTTTATCCTGCGGCAGCAGGGATGCTAAAGTTAGAGCCGTAGCGTGTAGCCCTTAAATAGAAATAAATGCATTTTTCTCCATTGCCAAATGAGTTCCCACAATGCACATTTTGCCTATCAGTTCCGCCCATCTATTCCTGTTCCATTTCTCAGTAAAGCAGTGTTTCAAATAACAGGTCACCTTGAGGAGATTTTTTGGAAGCGTTGCACATTGCAGCTCGACAGTAGAGAGGTGAGTTTTGGTGCAAGAATAAGGTGTACGTCATCTAGGTAGTGTATTGGTAATCACTCAGTATTTCTCAGGGTAGCGACAGAAGGTTATTCACTGAAGTGTTCAAGTCCTGTGGCCATCAAGGACAGCCGCACTCAAAAAAACAGAGATAACCGCACACCCTTACGACAATCTTCTGATGTTACTCACTGTGTCGCACTCATTTGTGCGTAAAAGAGTGTAAAATATGAACACTGATGGTCCAGTTTTGATCCAAAAATGTTCAGGGCTTTTTTTCCCCCACCAACTGCCCGACTTTAGCACTAACTTTAGAGATGAAAAAAAGATTCAGTTTTGGAACTTTCCTTTTTGACTAGGCCACTCCAGTCTTTCCCAAACTTGTTTTCTGGGGACCTATATTTTAAAAGTCACAAACCTTGGAGAACATCTCTCCGATGTGTGCAATCATCTGTTTTTGACGTTTTTTTTGTTTGTTTTGTTTTCAAATTCTCTGTCTGTATAGATGACTTTTTGCTAGCCTTGTCCGCACATGACGACCCATAATAGTTTGTTGGTGAAATGTGAAGTACTATTGCTAAGATTTGCTGTCATATTGGAGAAGGATTTTGTCGTTGCTTGATTGAGAAGACCATTCCGGCCTGCCTTGCAAGAACTGTTACCCTGATTTGCACTACACGAAACAGTAAAATGAAATGCAGAGACAAGCAGTTGTAGGTGATGCTTTTTAAGGTCATGCATAGTTCTCATTTCTTTTCTCGTCTTTTTTTTCTCCACATAGTGAAGTGTTAGGTGCCTCTTGCCAAAAATCAAAAAGTGCAGTCATAGAGTCTGAAAAAATCAAATATATTTCTCTAATATTTTTCCATACACTCGAATTGGTTCAATTCTTTCTTGGGCTTTAAGATGCTCTGGTAAATACCTGTGCCCTGACGATGACAGACATCACTGTGAGTTATTACTTTTTACGAAAAAAGTTAGAACATTTATAGATAATTTTCTGTTGGTTGATGTTTTCCTGAACTCGGCGTCGACCCAGAAACAAACCAACCACAAATTATTAATTTGAAAATTTGAGAAAATAGTGAATATTAGGAAACATTTTCACATGTAATTATTTTGATGAATATGTAATTTGGATTTTAATATGATTAACAAATTAATTACTGTATGTTTGCCATGCTGATGCAAGACTGAAAATAAAAAAAGACTACTGAGAAAACAAAACTATTGAATTCTTAATCTTCATTTGCATATGTACATAAACTTTGTTTTGTAGTGCATTTCCTATGTAAATGGCTGTTGATGTGATTAGGCCTTTATAAAAACACATCTTTGTATTGTTTTACAAGGAAATGCTTCTAATAACATTGTAACTAAAAGAAGAATATTTAGTCTAAACTATACCAGTGGACAGTGGACAATTGTAACTTTTGTAGCTGTAGTCCTATTTTACTTTTCATACTGTTTTTCAAACTATTTTTCAATTTTCACTTCGTGTGTATTGCTAAGATTTCGCAGTTGGATGACCTTGACAGCCAGGTCCTCTGGTATTGCTTTAATCACCCGTTAACTCAAAGGATCAAAGGTCGCTTAATGCGTTATCGCTGGAATTTGCCCAACAGTCATCCAGTCAGTGAGTCAGTCAGAGAGACAGGCGGACTGTGTCACCACGTCCACCACTCCAGTTCCTTCGTCCACTTTAACTCTCAGCCTTTGTTTTAAAAAACATCCGAACAACAACCGTCAGCATGGACAACTGTGTGAACGGTTCAGGGGCGTCGCGATGGAGCGGCCAGTCCAGACTCGGAGTCCATAGGTGAGGCTAGGGCGCAGATGTGTGGCGCGGTGCAGGTCCACGCTCCTGCGCAGGGAGAGCATTATCTGCAGATGAAGGACGAGGACAGAGAAAGCTCCTCGTCCTCCTCCTCCTCTTCCTCCAGTGACGACGAGGAGCATGCAAAAGCGGTGGACACAGGGATCATGACTCTGGAAGAGCCTGTGGTGCAGGTGGAAGAGGTGAACGGTGATGCGCACGACAGATCCAGGCGGTCGTCCTCCTCCTCCTCCTCCTCGTCTGCATCCTCTGATTCCCCCGGGGATCCGTGCGACGATCCGCCGATCCAGGCCAGGCTGGAGGACGAGGACAGGATGCTGGAGGCGCACACAGAGCCCGTCACTGCTGACATCCTGGTAGAGGAGGCCGTGGATCACAGCGTGGCAACTCTGGAGCTGGTGACCCTGGACGAGCCCTCTAGGCCCAGTCTTTCCGAGGTCACTCTGTTTGTCAAGGTAAGAGACTCATATACTGTCATATACCATGTACCACATCACATTTAAGAAATGATGGGCTGGAGGATCCAGTCCAGGCCTGTAATAATACTTTGTAAAATAGCTTTTTAAGACATACTGTTGGAACAGTGACTAGTGGTGTAATCTTTTTAGTAATATAGAGAAATATAAATAAATGTTCAGGATGTGAGTAGGTGATAACTGCAGGGCTTTAAAGCCTGTCTGTGACTTCATCTGGTGGAAGGCTGATAAAGTAATAATTAACCTGTTTTCTGTCCAGCCATATAAACCAGGGCTAAACTCCATGGCTAAGGAACTCTGAGTGTGTGTTTTGCTGCTGGTACATGAGGTGTAACTCTGGTGCTGGAATCAAACCACCTCCAGCTCTTGTAAATGGAAATGTCTGCAGGGATTTCAGGGTGTATCACTGCGCGACCGTTTCACACACGACATTAACCGATTCCTGAGCATTTGAAGGATCGTCAGATTTCACCCATACATTTGACACACAGAAAATACACCATCTGGTTGTTTTTTACCTAAATTCCGATAAAGATACCTGCACACACCGCACCTATACTATCCCTACCCTCCCCCTTGTCTTGTCCTATATGACCTCCCTATCTGAGCCACTCCAAATCACAGGTCATTTTCCCTGCAGTTTAATCTACAACAGTTGCCATAAACCAAAGCCGCAGTCCTATAAAAGCAGGGAGGGTTAGGGTTACAAGATCATCTATCTGTGCTCAAAGTTTATTTGGCTCGACCCCTGTACTCTTTGATCAAATCAGCCACCAAAAGAAAAAGGAAAAAAAATGCTATCATTATTGCTAATTTTATAATGTGCATCCATGAACCTTTTTATAATGTCACCTTGACCTGTTGATTAGGTTATGAGTGTGACACAAGACACTGGCAGGGATGCTGAGAGATTGTCACATTTGGGTGGTCTGTGTTGTTAAGGAGTTCATTCACTCCACGCCACCTGTATCTCCGCAGAGTTACAAAATGTTCCAGTGAATCATTAGCTCGGCAAGTCAGTGATTTGAGCTTCCTTTTGTTTGCAGGAGAGGGAAGATGTTTTTTTCATGATTAATAACGATTTGAAATGTAATAAATATCTATGAAGATTTGCCGGGACGTTTCATTATTGATCTTAGGATGAAATACAATAATACAAAATGTGATATGTGTCTCTTAGAAGCAGAGGTGTTCTGAGTGACTGACCTGACTGAACAAGGATGAATCATTTACTAATGACATATGGTTATAATCCGTATTCCTTGATACAGCTGTGCTGGAAATTTAAAAAAATTATTCCAAATTTTAAACTGAAAAAAATGTTGATAAACAATTCATCATTTCAGCTCATACACACTGATAAAAGCTCCTTCCTCCACTCTGACCCAGTCTGTCAGATGCTGCATGTTGCCGTACATGCCAGAAGAGGACGCCGTTGTATAAATTAAAAACAAATATTTGCTTTAACGCTTCTATCTGTGTTTGACGATTTTTCTATATCTGACATATACTCAAAACCTCCCCAAATACTACAGTTATCTGACTCTTTTTTGGTTCAGTTTTTTGGTTGTATAGTCTGTAAACATATGCACAGGTCTGCACAAAAAACCAGGGACAGGAATTAATAATTTATTAAGGAATCTCCTCCAGGTCCGCTAGTGGTGATCAAATATAAGCTGTCCCTTCTCATGTGTGGGTCGACATTAAATATGAACAACGCAGTTTAAGCACAGACAAACTAATGGAGGAATAAGGAGAGGAACAAAAATGATCCGCTTTTTATAGGATGCAGTGATGTTTCAAGTAGAGATTTGTCAAAAGGTTTCTAAATTAAATTGTTAGTTGACCTTAAAGACGGCGACAAGTTCAAAGGTTAAGGATCTGGGAAAGGCAGTACAGTTAGAAGAATGTCGCAGTGGCGTTGTGCTTTAGTTGGGATGCAGTGATGGGAAGAGGGAGATGGGAGCTCCACCCCCCGGTGCAGACTACACACTGACACCTGTTCTCCACTCAGTGTCAGTGACAGCGAGCTCTGCTCTACATCTGTGTCTAAATCAGAGCACCAGCCTCTGTCTGCCACCTGGGCCGACAGTCCACCTCATCTGCAGGAGACAATGGAGTAATTTGTTTTGTTTGTTTTTTACGCACGAGAAGTTCTGAATGAAGCAGGAAACACCAAAGTTATTTGTGTGAACAGACAAAAAGGACGAGTGTGGGAGGACATCTGACTTCAGTTTGTTTTGTTTTGTTTGTAGAGGATGTAGAGCTTTAAGGATAAACAAAGGACAGTACGTGTTGACATTTAGAATACAAGCTGAACGCATACGTTTGACATCATGTCCAAGAGCGGTCAGGACAAGGATCCAGATATTGAACTGTTTGTCAAGGTAAGACGGAGACAGAACTCCTGTGCCATTACAGCATTTTCTGTAGCGTCTAATATGAGATGGAAGCAGTGAATCAGGCGATAACTGCAGCATCCCTGAGTGGATTGGAAAGCCCAGGTAACTGGATAGTGTGGCTTGAATTACAGTGGCACACTGCTGACCCAGGATTGTTGTGACATTGATACTGAAGCTGCAGAATGATGCTGGGGAACTCTGCCTCGTTGTCACTTCAGTGAAGTTCTTTTTTTTACTAAGATGTGATTGAACTTACAGACTGACTCTGAGCGTTTCATCATCACTTTGACCTTGATGTAAACTGCTAATTGAATTCAACTGTTGTGACAGACAGTGATGTTGATGTAGTGCCTCCATCAGCAGTTAGAGGCAGCTGACTGTGTTAGACAGGTGAAGTGGAATCAGGTGAAAGAACTGATGTGCTGCCTAGATGTACTGACCCAATCAAATGTGATGGTGCAACACTATAGAAAACTCCTGAATTAATTCACATGGCATGATGAAATAAACATGAAAATATATGCTGTAATTGCACAATAATAAACAAAAACAAAACAACCAAAAAAAAACATTAGTTAATGTGTATCTTTTAACTGCACAGCTGTTAATATCTAAGCGCCAACATAGTTTGTGCTAATAAAAATGCATTTCAGTCTTTCTCCCCCTTTTTTATTTTAGCTACTTCAGCAGAGAACAACCAGGAAGGAAACCATCATGTCATGTGAACGCAGAGGGAGAGTACTCCAGAATCTGCCTTTTGAAAATGACCAGTACTAATAATGCATGCGATGGATCCTATAAAGCAGCATCGCTTCCAGCAGCTCCACACACACACACGCACACACGTTCACTTTTGTCCCGTCAGTGTGACAGCTTTTGTCCAGTCTGTTCTAGATGTTGATTGACTAGAACAGCACCTGTGTATTGTGTTACCGCCGTGCCACTGAGCCTGGCCAACAATGTGTTGTCAAAGGCTCACATGCATGTGACGACAGAGTGGCAGCCATAGACGTGGATACAGTCAGCTCAGCTACCTGGGAACTTGCTAGTGCCGTATGCACATGTGCTTTATCATGTCAGAAGTAGCCCACATATCTATAGGAATCAATGAATAAATATATGAATACATCAGTATTTAGCAGCTGCTTGAGCTAGCACTATGCTTTTATTAATTTCAATGACAATTAAAGTGTAATTTTGTGATTGCCACAGATGATTATGTAACTACTGAAGTTACATTGCGATGTCTGTATTTTTTCACGCCTAAAATATAAAAGGAATTTCTAGCCCCTCAAATCACTTCACACTGTTCTCTGTGCTGACCTGGAGGTCAGTGCTCTTTATTTGACTTGTGACGTGGGCTCTCTGTGTCGCTGCAGCTCTGAACCCAGACTCTGTGGTCCAGCGGCCAGTGAACCAGTAATGGAATCTCTATGTATAATTCAGTCAGGCCAGTGGATCAGCTGTCACTGTGGAGGCTGCTCCCTGGATTTACATGGACCGACACATGATATGAGCACATGCAGATTTCAACTCCCAACATAAAACTAACTTCAATTCAATCGACATTCAGTTCAATCTACATTCAATAAAGAAAAGAAAAAGTGAAGAATAATTCAGTTTTGGAGCTGGCCCAAATCAAACACGGTCTCCCACCATGTGTCATTTTTAACATTCTGCCTGTCGTGCTGTGTTACATGCAGGCCGGCAGTGATGGGGAGAGCATCGGGAACTGTCCCTTTTCTCAGCGTCTCTTCATGATCCTCTGGCTGAAAGGAGTCGTGTTCAACGTCACCACTGTTGACCTCAAGAGGTCAGTAACGCAATGACGTGGAAATACCACGGTTGGCTTCCACTATTCATTATTATTGTTGTGTCTGTTGTAGAAAACCGGCAGATCTTCACGATCTGGCCCCAGGGACACACCCGCCCTTCATCACCTTCGACGGCGAGGTCAAAACAGACATCAACAAGATCGAGGAGTTTCTGGAGGATATGCTCTGCCCCCCGAGGTAATGCCAATAGAAGGCTTTACAACAGGTTTACAGAACCAGATTATATTACAAACACACACACATACACACACTCGGACACCCACACACAGTTTTAGGATGATTTATTTCTCTCCGGCAACGCTGTCGACAGGACAGGAAACCAGTTAGTCTAGTAAAAAGAGTTGTTTTTAATTAGGACTGATGTCAAATGACTTAATTGCTTGTTGTTTATGACCACTGTGCATTTCTGACAAATGTGTCCGTCTCAGGTACCTTTGAACATCCAAGCCCTTAAACAATAAACTCAACTAACCCGAACAGAGCCGCACCTCAAATATAATTCAACAACGGCTGCCAATTTTTCACGACTTTTTGAGAAAGAATAAAAAAATGTTTACTCGTCTTCTAAAAGTCAGAGCTACTTTGTGGGAGAGAAACATTAGATTAAGTAAATCTTTCTTTAATTGCCCGTAAAGTTTTTTACATTACAAATGGACCTTGGTGTGGGAGAACTCGCGGGGCAGGCGGCCAACACGGTTTTAGTGTGTAACACATTTTTAGTCTGAGCTGAGCCCCAAGTCCAGGTGTTAATGCTCTCCAGATGCTTTGGTCTGACTGTGTCTCCCGCCTCCGTCCTCTGTCTGCTCAGGTATCCCAAACTGGCTGCCAAGCAGAGAGAGTCCAACACAGCTGGAAATGACATCTTCGCCAAGTTCTCAGCCTACATCAAGAACACCAAGCTGGAGGCCAATGCTGGTGGGCTGCTCATTTACACATAAAACATAGTAGTAGAAAAAAAAAAAAAAAATCAACAGCAGTTATTTCACTCCTCCACCAGGCTGTGGCAGAGTCCACTGTTTGAAACTCGCTCTGTTTTCTGTGCTGCCACCTAGTGGGACTATCACAGCACAAACGTTTGCAACTGACAGCCCCTGTACACCCTAACACGTTTTTTTCTTTTTATTGTTGATCAGCTTTAGAGAAGGGTTTAACCAAATCACTGCTGAAGCTGAACGACTATCTGAACAGTCCCCTGCCAGAGGAGATTGATGCAAACAGTATGGAAGAAGAGAAGGGATCGAACCGAAGCTTCCTGGATGGAAATGAACTCACGCTTGCAGACTGCAACCTGCTGCCTAAACTACACATAGTCAAGGTAGGGCAGAACATGTGTGGGAAACACATCTACTGAAAATGAAGACTGTCATACAACACAAATATGGACCCACACACAGACAGGGTCTCAAATAAAGAAAATACAGCTTCATAATTTGATGTTTGAATTGTTTTCAACAATATGTTGATCCACAGGATCCACTCAGGACACCAGAAACAAATGCTGTTCTTTATCAATAAAGACCAAGCTCAGAACATGAAGGAAACAAAAAATCAAATCAAATAATACTAAAAAAAAAAACAAAAACAAATGGAAACACAGACCAGGCAGCAACACACGATAAAAACCACAGAGCAACAGACTAGAGATTCCCTCAACACAAAACAATCAACAACAATGAGCAAACAGAGACAGCAGGTGAAGGACAGAGGTATTTATACCCAGGTCACCAGGTGGGCTGAGTCAGACCAATCAGCAGAGCCGCCCAGGACACAAGTGATGGTGATGACACTAATGACCCAGAGAGAGAGACAGACGTGACAACAGCTTTGTTTGGTTCAGTTTGTTTAGCTATTGAACAGAAGAAGTGTATTATTAGTTATTCAATAATATCTAACTATGGTTGGCTGAGGTTCCCAAAGTGGGGGCAGGGCCCCCATAGAGGCCACAGAGCTACTGCAGAGGGGGCAGAATGGTCTATATTTGTGCTACAGTAAGAATAGTGTTGTTTAATTCTTGTAGCAGTTGGACAAAAGTTATTCAGAGTTTTAATGTGGAACGTCCACTGGGGGCAGGCTCGACCCTAGTCCTACGTACAAAAATGTGGGACCGCTGATGTCTTAGTTCATCCCATACTTCAAACAGACCCTGATCATTTCCTTTCCAGTCTATTAGACGTTGCAGTGTGGAAAATCCAGTTCAGTGCAGTTTGTCCACTGTTCCCAACCGTTTCATACACTGCTTGACAAAAAAAAAAAAAATTGCAGACCAAGTGTTTTTCGGGTGATTTAAGTGCTGTGGGGTTTACTTTAACTTTTCACTTCACACCGTTAAAGCACAGTTAAAATTTCAGGTTGTCTAAAACATCGGGGCAAACACCTGCAAAGCTCATGAGACGGGAGCTGCAGCCCCGCAGAGTTATAGCGCAGCTTCAGACATTTCATCTTTTATATGTAATAATGTGCAATTTGAGTAACTGCAGCAGCCCATAACATTTTTCTTCTTCTCCTCTTACGTTTCCATTTCTCTTCCCTGAAAGAAGTCGTTGCTCTGTTGTTGGTCGACACGGCCACATGCAGAAAAGTCATGTATAAAGTCATTTATTTCCACATTTATGAGTAGAAGAAGCAGGAAATGAGGCCAAAGATGACAAATTGCTTCTGTAGTTTTACTGCTGCCTCCTGCCTCAAAAAAAAAAAGAAGTTTGAACGTCTGACATTCCGGGTCGAGATTCAGCTCAGGCCTCCTCTCTTCTCTCCTTTTGCAGGTTGTTGCTAAGAAGTACCGCAACTACGAGATCCCCACGGAGATGACGGGCGTGTGGAGGTATCTGAAAAACGCCTACAAACGGGACGAATTCACCAACACCTGCGCCGCCGACGGCGAGATTGAGACCGCCTACAAAGAAGTAGCAAAGCGGCTGGCCAAGTGACCCAAACACGTAAACAACAAGCAAGGCATCACAAGAAACACTGTTGTCTCAGTGACGCTCACACTGTCGTCGTTCAATTCCATACAGCCTTTAACCCCACGTATCCCAAACGCACAGACAAGAAGTACACACAGAAAACGATCGACCACGTAAAAGAATCATTTTGCTGCTGCGAAACTGCTGTTGTAACCAGTTTTTCTCAGACGTGATTGTGTCTGTCTGTGGTCATTTCTCCAAATACAAGGCTCCCTTTCATACATTCTCTTTTGGCCCACACAGCCAAACATTTTACTAGCTGCTGATGTCAGGGTAGTTCACTTTATTTATTCCTAAGCCCACAGAAGTCTAGTCTGACTCCAGTGTTTATTGTCGTGCTCTGGCTCCTGGGGAGACACCTTTGATTCCCGTATGATTGATGCTCCCGATTGTTTGAAATCCTCACATCCACTCTGATTGTCATCCATCACTGTAGGTGTTTGCTGTAGCTGTGTTGTTAAGCCTTCCTTAAAAGACTCACTCCTGCTTCAAAGAGTTTGGTTGATCTGTGAAAAAAAGAAAAAAAGACGTGCTCGAGTAATCCGCTTAAAAGTCAAATGTGCCTTTACCAATGTGAAAAATGTATCGCAGCCAGAACGGAGACGCTTGATTTGCTCCTAGCTGTTTGTGTTTAGTTGGTATTGATTTCGTCCTGTGTTGCAGATGAAATTATGAATGGAGAGGGTATTTACTCAGCAGCCCCAATCAGGCCTGATTAGCTGTAGACGCATTAGCGCCGCGATGAAAAGCCTCTCCCAGGCCAGGTCCACCACGGTCAGGAGGCCTGCCCTCCAGCTCTTCATCAAAGACACATTTCCTCTCCTCCGAGGAGTCCATCAACCTCCACGGCCCGAGAGTCGAAGTTCAAAAGTTTCGCTAGGACGTGGTTGAAGTATCGGAAAGATGGAAATTTTTTTGGGGGAGCTTATCGTCTTTGGCGTAGCGTCAGGCTGCAACTACAACAAGACTTCCTTCGAGAACCATGCGGCTCTTGTGTGGTTTGGACAAACGTATGAAATGAAATTGGAGCATGATGAGTGAGGGCCTTGCTCATGGCAAAGCTCTACAAATAAAATAATATTTTCACAGATCTGCTTCTGCCTTTTCTTTTCTTTTACAGCTAGGCGATCAATCAACACCGGTACTTAAAGGCTGTCGCACAGGGAGGGGGCGGGCGCTATCGTTTCTGAGATATTAAAGGTGCCGCTGAAGTCCGGGTTCCGCTCCTCCAGTCCCGAAAAGGGTTAAGTGTGACTGACTGTGTTGATCAAATCCAGTGGTGCAGGTCTGTTTCTTCATCCATGACAGAGAGCGAGAGAGAGAGAGAGAAGCAGAGAGAGTTAGAGTGATGACCGTTGACAGGCTTAAATAGAGGCTTCCATGCCAGGGATCAAACGCCATCCCTCTTCTCCACTCTCTCATTAAGACGGAAAACCCGAGCGCCGCCAATCGATCTGTCTCCATTTTTCCTCAAAGGAGTCTAACTTGAAAGATCTGCGCCTGTCGGATTTACAATGGTGGGCGAGTGGTGTTTACTGAGAGGCCGCCGTGCCAGAAACAACAGTCAAAGAAAATAAATGGAGCCTGCCTAGTGTTTCCACAGGAGTAAGGAAATATGGAGCGAGACTTGTGCCTTGCTGTTTGGTAATTAGTACCTAAACATCCCTGTCCTTGGATCCCACTGCTCACATCCAACATTTCTGCTAGCTGGATAATATACAGTGGAGCATTAACGTCAAACACGTCTGGTCATGGGGCCTGGCACGCCACATTAATCTGTTATTACACTCCCAGTGGATCTAGCAGTCACTGGCCTTGGCTCAGCCACCGTAGTTCGGGGAGTCTGTATATAAGCTGACAGGGACTCACACATGGCGTACTTTTATGGCCAGGTTTACTAAACCTTTTCAGCTCAGGCATAAATTGTGTAAAACGAGTCCTGCTTTGAGACCTGAGCTGATTAAAACAAACTGGTGTGTTTGACGGGCGAGGACCTACCAGAAACAGACCTGTGATCCAATTAAGGGCCAGACCCCTAGTTTGAGAAATACTGCCTCGGGCCACGGTGCGCCCTCGCAGGAGCGAGTCAATTTGAGTCGCCGCTTACCATAGATATTGCACCCAGGAGACGGACAAATATGTTTGAGCCCGAGGTGAAGTTTGCTTTCCTCCTCTTGTCCTTGTGTTTTAGGAGAAACTTTGTTTTAAATTATGTCCTGAAACGGCAGTCCTGAAAGACGCGGCTCCACCGGTTGTTATCTCAAACAAGTTCTGCTTTTCACATTACACTGAGATAAAACCCCGAGATTTATACGGAGGATAAACAACAAGGTTTCTTTTCCAGTTTATAATACATTAATACGTGGCACCTTTATTCGCGTATAAAAACATGGAAAAACGAAGCGTGCTTATTGGGTTATAATAACAATTTTATAGAGAATCCTATTCCAGAACAGACAGTTTTTTGGCATTCACTCTGGTCTGGTAGGACAGACAGGTATCTGAACTTCTCTACCAGTTTTGAAATATCTCATCAGAAGACAAAAAGTAAAAATAAAGTCCAAATTAAAGTCTCTGAGTATCCATTTTTCCCTTTTCCCATGATGCCTTAAAGCTCAAGTTTTAATACGGTTATTATAACTAAGGGATAATGAATTTAAATGTTTTACTTGCCCATCATTTATTTATTCCTTGGCTAAATAAATAAATCAACAGGTCAGGGCTATCCTGTGTGAAATGACTTAGTCTATTGCGCCAAATAAAAAAATTGAATTTTTAAATTAAGATGATTTTGGATCAAAAACATCCTGTGAGTCTGGAAAAGCTCAGTCAATGATTCAAGTATCCTTTTACGTTAGCTAAAAAAATAAAATCCTCGTCTCATTCACACATGTGCGTGAATACCTTCAAACGTGATACTGAGTGACATGTGACATCAGCGCAACGGGGTGACAGCTGACGTCCAACAGGCCTGCGGGGGAAGAATCTAATCCGAGCATAGGAACCATGTCATAACAGGAGATTGTGTTTAAAGCAGAAACAGAGCCACAGAAGATGACTCCTCATTTTTTCCACACTGAGACGCAGAACATCACGGAGAGTATCAGATTCTGTGCTGCAACCCTCCACCGCCGCCGCCACCGCCCCTCGATCCTCCGGCTCCTCTCGCCGTGGAGGTTTGACTGACTTGTGGTGAAGTGTGATGGGGATTATTGATCTGCCTGGCGCACGCCTGTGGTTACGGCGCAAGACTAACGACCTCAGCAGAGAAAGAGAAAAGTCGCTGGCACTCAACCGCCGCTGTGCATCAGATCGGTGCAGGGGCCATGTGGTGGTTGGGACCAGTCCTTTCAGGGCCTGGAGCACGTAGGTCTAAAGTTTAAGCTTGGACCTATTTCATGAAGATTTTTGTTTTTTTTTTTGTTTTTTGAGTATTTAAGTAATCAGGCACAAATCTAGGCAGATAAACATATCTGATTGGCTCTTTTTTGCAAGGAGGAACCATGTCTACAGACAGCAAAGCCTCATGGTTTTTATGCCCTCACTTAAATTTACTGGCTTATGTTTCGGTTCCAGTCGTCAACCACATGAAATGGTCCACGGTCACTGGAGAAGGATGTGGACACTGTGCTAATTATGTGAGATGATGATGTCAGGTATTGATAGCGGCGAGTGAGCCAGAACTACTCTCTCTCTCTCCGCTAGGCTCCAAAGTATATAACCGACCACATTCACATCCACATGTCGGACATGTCTGGATCCTCAGCAGCCCTCACACATCCGCACTGTCAGACGGCCCCTCACTTTATCATTCGTGGCTGTAAATCATCGCTTTGCCTGCAGGAAACACGCAGCCTTTTTTATTTTCCAGTCATAAAGTGTAAAACCTGCCTCGTACACGAGTTATGATCTTTGGAGACAGCGAGGATGAATGTATAAAGCAGAAGCAGACACGACGGCGGGCATCCTTCATCCTCTTTTTCGTTGCCTGGCATCCCCACGTAGTTATGTATTTTCCAAGCAGCTTTAAGGATATTGTCAACAGCATGTCACTGGGTTTTGGTATTTGTCAAGCGGATCTGAGGGACTGCTCTGAGAAAGTTTTGTCAGTAGTTTCAACACTGGGCAGATTAGCCCTTCATCTCACAGGAGGAACAAATCGAGCTCTTTCATGTTCAGTGTTGGGGAACCTGCCAAAATGTTTGATATTTTATTGCCTGACCAAATCCTATGGAAAAAGTCATTTTTTTTAAACACGAATATTTGGCACCAATTTAGTGTTTTTCCTGTTTTACGTTTCTGTACATCTGAGCACTCCGCAACAGTTTGCAGGTTTTGACAGTTGAGATGATGTGTAATTTGAAACACTTGACGTGAAGTGAAGGTCTGAACAAAGAAGGCCTTGTGTGTGGGTGTTTGGTCGCTGTCCATGGTTCTGACATTTGAATTTTCTCTGTGTTTTTTTTTTGTGCTTAAGTGATGTGGCCAGTATCAAATTGCATAATCTGAACTGGCACGGGGACGAGAACTCTGGGCATTTTAGGGTTTATAAGTGGTCTTTTCTCCGCGCTGCGTTCCACTAAGCAGCGAATGCTTTCACGGACTTCTACGTTTCCAAGGAGTTATGCTTTAATCTGGTAATGAATGGATTTTAAAAGAAATGTCAGTGGGCCTCACAATCTACCACGACCCCGAGGGTCTGGGCCGGTGCCTGCGTGCGATGTCTGCTGCCAATTGATCATTTCTTCTATTACAGGTCAAAAGACAAGTCATCATTTACAAACCGTGCTCTCTGTGAGAGTGAGGAACCTTTCATATCTGGTAATAATTTACTGTCTAAGAAAGACAAATTGTGGGTGCTGTACCACTGACATAGATTTTGTAAGTCTGGCCTTATCCCTACATGTCTTTGGTTCTAATGTTGGCCCCGCAACCCTAAGGTTGACTAAAAAGCCACTAGAGAGCGCCAAAGTACACAGTTATTGTTGACTCGTTTTGAAATCCTTTTGGAGCAGAAGGGCGTTTGCTCAATTACAATCAGATCAAATTAAGTTCAGTCTGCGTACTTTCTGATGGGCACGGGTCAATCTGAACAATGGCTTTCCTGTGATACTCAAGTGAACCGCCACCATTCGTTAAACTCAGACGACTGGAGAAGATTTAAAAAAAAAAAAAAAAAGTCCAGGTCATCATAACGTTCCACCAGCAGGGACGCATTTGAGAACCTCGGGCTTATATTTAGTCCAAATGAGAAATCAAGATGTGTGAGTTCTTTCTGTCTCTTATAAAAACACACACATACATGTATATACCCACACTCCTGTTAGTGCAGACGGAAACATACACACAGATATACAGCCCTGCGAGCGCTATGGGACCCTGGAGGATCACTTCCCCGCCTGAGCTGCTCCACTGAACACGTTTGCAGAGGTCAAGTAAACAGTTTGTGTTAGGCTATCTACTCTGTGTGTGTGTGTATGCACGTCTCTGTGTGTGTATGTGCGGTTGTGTGTAAAGGTCATTTAAATGAAGTGGTTTTGTCTCCTGTGTAAATCTGGTTGAATCCCTTTCTGCTGATTGCACGAGGAGGAGGAGCGTTTGCAGTCTGCTCTGTCCTTCCCCTGCAAAACGACTTATGACCTGGTATGAAAATCAAGCGCACATCATCACTGGCATCATGTTTAAACCACCAAATTTAAAAGGGAGGGGGAGGGACTCTGTATCAATCCCACTCAAATGAGTCTGCCTCATTGAGCAGCGCCGTCTCTGCCGTGCGTGCGGGACATTATGCTAATTTTTCCGGGTGTCTGGGTCTCATTGCTCCTCCAGAGTTCATTATTGTAATTGCTAGACGTAAACGAGAACGCTGGGAATGTGAACCTGAAACCAATGGCCGCTTTTTTTTCCAAGCAATCTATATTCAGGGAAATCCCGAGAACGTTCCAAATCTGAACACAGACATGGGGATGGTGCAGTTCTCTCTGTTCCTACATGTGTATGTGCGTGTATGCACGCTCAGACTGGCTCTATTATGTCTTGGAATAATGTAAAACAGCCTCCCTGAATCTCTCCGTCTCTGTTCCTGTCTCCATCCCTCTGGTTTCCCCACTGTATCTTTGAAACAAGGCCATGGCAGTGGCAGTGGCAGTAAGAGGAGTCTGGCTGAGCGTGCCGCGGCCCCAGTCCTCATCCAAAGACAATGTTGGTGCAGACAGACCGGCACATCAGAGATGACACCACAAAATATGCTCCTTATGCACAACATGCTCACGGACCCGCTCGTCAACGGTTTCATTTGAGATTAAATGAGTGATGACAGCACTTAAATGTTTTTGGACGAACAAGGAGTGCTCTCTGTGGTGGCCCCTTTCTAATAAAATGGAAAATCAAAGGCTCTCTCTCTCCCATATATAGACAACATGACGGATGCCAATCCACAGCCATATCACAGTCTCTGTTAGCAGACCTGCCGATACAACTTTGACTCGTTTTCATTGGCTCCCAATGAAGCGACTAAACTGTTTTCTTCTTTTGTAGAAAAAGAAGGAAAACATTTTCTCCTCCTTCATGATGATGACAAAAAATACACATCCTTGTCTCTTCCCTGCTGGAGATTGTAAAGCCACGGTTCATGAATTTAATACACTGGTACAAAAGAATCGTTTGACCTTTGACTAAACTTTCTAAAAATATTTTCAACCAGAAAAAGTCCAATATTTAAATGGTCGTAATAAGCGATGCATTTTCTGCTAATGAAAATGTACATGTTTGTGCTTTGCTAAGCTCCTTTGCGTTCTCTGAGATATGTCGCTAAAACTACTAGCTCTATAGTTCTCTGTTAATCATTCTGACATCCAGTCACGGGTCTGAGGAGGAAACAACAGCAGCACAACCACATCTGTCAGCAGTCAAACTTACAGAATGTTAGCCGGTGGTTACAGTGGGGCAGAAACCAGGCGAAGGTCGGAGGCTCGATTCCAGAGAAGCAGTCAGGAAACAAGTGCTGGGAAGTCGGCATGTGAGTGAGGACAATCAGACAAACAACAGGTGGCAGCGGTTGTGCTGATGAGGTGGAGTGACTGAGCACAGGTGGAAGTCTCTGCTGCAGAGGAGCAGACAGTGACATGCCCTGATATCTCATAGCACGCTGATAAACACAACAGCGTACGTGACGTTTTATCAGAAACCGGACGAGACCAAAACTGAGTTACAAAATTCATATTTTATTCTTAAAATAAACTAAATGTACAATCATAATGCCAATTTCACTCACTGTTGTCAGGTGTGTTGTCCCTTTATAAAAAAAAAAAAGTCACTCGATGTTTGATGAAACGTACCAGCAAAGACTAACGGTGCCTCCGTTAGCTTCTGTTTTTCCTGACAAGAGTTCATGAGAAAAGAAGCATAACAACAGAAACATAACAAGAGCGCTTTACACGAGAGCAGATAATGTAAAGGACACTTCCTCCATATCATACATGTTGATCATTAAATAATACAAGGACTCGGATGTATGCGACATTAAATCATAGGAAATTAAAAGGATGAAGCTCTTAATTTATGAACAAAGAGATAAAAAAAAAAGAAAAAGAAAAAACCCACAAACAAAGAGACATGAGGACAGGATGGGATGTCAGTGCTGCACTGATGTGTAAACAGTTTAAAAGGAACATAAATAAATGGGTGCTGTGGAGACACTGGATCGACTTGTGTTTGACATAAAACATGACAACGGCCTAAAAGGGGTTTGATTTGATTTCATCTGTTACTGTATAACAGCTTTTCATTCGGGCCGCAGCAGTCGGGGAAATGTAGTGTGACACACTCAATTCCGTTAAGTGAGTTCAGGACATCCTCCGCAGAGACTGGAGAGAGAGAGAGAGAGAGAGAGGGAGAGAGAGGTGCTACGTGCAAACCTCCAATGAAAAGCACAAAGTTGGAATCCTTGGACAGGATCCTGTTTTTCTCAGCTTTTTAAAATTGGGTTATTATATTACCTATATGGACCGAGTATCACGTTGCATGAAAGAGGGAAAAAAGTTTTTTTTTTTTTTCAAACAAATACCAACTGCCTTGTGAGATCAGACTCAGCTCCAATATAAATGGCTTGTTTGGCCAAGTGTTATCCATTCGGTGTGTGTGTGTGTGTGTGAAAGAGACTCCAGTGGCATTATTTCGGCAGTGAGGATCAAAACCATGAGCCCAGCTGGCGGCGAGCCACAAGTGCTGCTAGAAATAAAACAAGAAATAAATGCTTTATGAAACAAACATACACAAGTCTCCCATATTTTTTCGGTTGCCAGTTTGCTGCCAGCAGCTGCATCCAATCACCTCCGTTTTTGCACTTTTTCCTTTTTCTCAAACACACACAAGAGAGAACCAGAGAGAGAGAGAGAGAGAAAAACAAAACAAATAGTAATTTCAGATTGTAAAACCTCAGACCTCCCACTCATCCCGGTGCCACAGAGAGGTTTTCGACGGTGACCAGTGTCACCACTGAAAACCTGTGTGTATATACACTTGGTAAATCATGTCAACAGAAGCAAAATCTTTGGAATAAATAAACATCTGAAGGAATGTCACAGTTGATTTTTGTCTGTAACTGTGATATCTCCTGTTCAATCTTAAAGACTGAAAAAAGAGAAGGAAGAAAAAAAGAGAAAGTACCCACGTGTGTTTCACACTAAGACAAACTTTTTCAAAGCTATCTCAAAGCTACAATAGACTTGGCATGTTTCCCCCCGTGATCTTGACAGAGCAGAGATATGAAAAAAAATCGGAGGGATTCTTCCACACTCCTGAGGAGTCCTGAGCCGCCGCTTTGGAGTGCACCGCCAGACGTTGCAGTGCAATCATCATCTTTGGGCTCGGCGTCAGTTTGTGCATAAATATACAATTTTCTCTTTGGATGAGAAAGAAAAATATATATATGTATTATTCTGCGTGCATGTCAGACGAGACAAACTACAGAAATCAAGCAGACTTTCCCCCCAACGGGTAATTATTTCTCCCCCATTGAAGCTCTCTTTGGCGGTACGTTGCCAAGAGGCACAATGCGAGTTATTGCTCAATAAATACCAAAGGTTTAATTCCAAGCCAAATGTGTGTCAACGCCTAGCGAAGATGTTGAAGCTCTTAACGTGTGGAGCAGTTAAACCAAAAGTTACACCAGAAAAAAAACATGTTGCAATACTCTTTGGAATTTACATTTCATATTTGAAACAATTTAAATCATTGGGTGCTACAAAAAGAAAAGAAAAGAAAAAAAAAACAAAACAAAAAAAAAACAAAAACAAACAATACTTCTCACTCTTTTAAATTACCTATCAAATAAGAAAAACTCATTTTAACTTAGTCATTATAGATGCATCAAAAATATTCAGATTACACTTCTTCGACTCAAGTTTAAAATACAATACATAATTTATGGCTTTTATAAGTTAAAACTAAGAAATACGCCTCAATCTACATCGTTTCACCAACAATATACACGTTAAATTAAATGTTTCAAAGCAAATTTACCGTCCGTACCACTTAAAGGTAACATACGTGTTACTCTCATCACTCGCTACTCAGTGCTTAACTTGCATCTCGATATTGTCGTCATACAAAAAAAAAAAAAAAAAAAATATCATGCTCTGCAAAAAAAGCCTTATTGAAATAGAAACACTATACAAAAGAGGCAGTCTTCTACAAATATTGTCGAAGCATCCCTTAGCTTGTGGATTTTAATCAAACTGAAGTGTCTCATCCACATGGGCGTAGTAAACCAAAAACTGTCTTTCTCATTATTGCTGTGAAAATGACTCCCTTTGTAGTGCTTTGGTCAGGACACATTCCAGGAAGACTGGTCCATAAGTCTGCTCTTTTTTTTCCATGAATATTGTTTCAACCATAATTTCCAAGCAAAATGTAGAGATAGAAAATGAGAGCTCAAAAATCCCCCTTTTTTTCAAATAAAAAAAAAAAAAAGGTTTTGTGCTTTCAAACCATGCCCTCAGCGGAATTCTGAATTTCCCAGTTCTGCTTTTCTTCAATATGGCCTCCAGACAGCTTCATCCATCCGGCCTCCGGGGTTGAGAATGGTTGGGGAGTTACTGTGGCTGCCGTCGCCATCCACGCCACCCTCAGTCTGGCTGGGCAGGTTGGGGTTGACCAGAGTGGTGCCTGTGGAGGCGCTAGTGCAAGGCGGGATCATCCGGGAAGGTGAGCGATCGCCCCCCGGGACCATGGAGAACTGGTACGAGCCGGACGAAGCTCCGTAGTAGAGATAGGGGGTGCTGCTGGTCTGAAAGGGTCCGCTCTGGCTCTGGGTGGAGCCGGGGTAAGGAGGGGGAAGGTAGGTGTGGTAGTGGGCGCTGCCTAGGGACATGGCAGAGGTGACTGGTGGGGTGTAGGTGAAGGTGGCCGGGTAGTGCATCCGAGGGCCGGAGAAGCGAGTGTCTGTGAGGGAGGAGAGTCCTGGGAACTGCCGCTCAAACTGACCGGGGAAGGGGCTCAGGTCAGAAGAACCTACGGACACGGAGACAAACAAAACAAACACGCCCGTCAATGACGGCGAACACTGTGACATCGAGTGTTCGCAGCAGCCATGGTTATGAAAGCCAGAGAAACAGCGGTACTTGACAACACTTTGTCACTTTGGATTATTGATGACACGAACTGTGGCTTTGGCCTGCACGACTATTTTGCACGTTGTCTTGTTGAGTAATTAAAATTAACAGATAAATCCCCCGGGGGAGACGAGACGTAAGTAAGCAGAATCCGTCGTAATGAGATGTTTCGGAGCCAGATGTGTGTATGAAGCAATTAGGTTTGTTTAATAGGCCTTGTGGGCGCGGTTATGAAACAGCGATTATCCATAAATATTGTTACACTCATCAACTTCTGTGTTGTTGTTCGCATCAACTCCCAAGTATTGATGAAGTTACCAAACACCAAAGTCCCGGCCATGCATGTGCCCTGACACATTGTTTCCCAAAGGGTGGATGTCTATTGACTTAGTTTTGTGACATTTAAAATATGGGTCCTCAGAAAAAACATATTTACGCCTCTGCATTTCATATTCCTGCCAAAGTCGGTGCGTGTTTACACGTATGTACTGTACGCCAACGTTTATGCATGCAAACACACACTCGGCCACGCAGACGCACTCTGTCTGTGTGTGTCTGTGTGTGGGTGTGTAACGGGGAGGGGGGTATATGTGTGTGAATACTGTATGCACATAAAAAAGCAGTTGGGATGAATCAGGAGCTGCACATGTGGAAACACTTTGAGCAGAAACAGTTTCCATGAGATCCATAATGAGGCAGGGCTGAGCTCTGATGTGGCTCCTCTCCTCGCCTCCCATCGGCTCCAGCGTGTGTGCTGTGTCTGTGTGTGTGTGTGTGTGAGAGAGCTGATAAGGAGCTGCTCCATCTCACCCCTCGTTCCTCTCTTCACTTCATCCCTTTAAAAAATACCCAGAAACCACTAACTGGCTGCGGCGAGCTGCGCACGGGGTGCAGAGTTTAAGGAGAATAAAAGCCCCCCTCACCCCCCCACTCCCTCCCTCCCTGCTGTCTCCTCTCCGTGGTTTAGTCCAGCCATGCTGCTCTTATCATAAATCACTAGGCGTCTTCTGTGTCACCATGTCTGCTGTGAGAGGACAGGGGGTGGCATGGGGGAGAGGGAGGGGATACAGTGTTTATGTGCAGCTAAGGAATTGTGAAGCCCAGTTTGTTGCTAGCGTCAGATAGCATATGCTGCCAATTAGGGCCCTTTTAACTTCCTCTTTCCACATTATCCATTTGATTCTAATAGGAATAGTGGGAGATTGTCTCGACTGCAGCGGACCACTGTGATCTCAGGCATGAAACACGCTGTTCCACGAACCTCTGATTCTGTTCAGTGTTTAGGGTTTACTGATTACTGCTTGTAGTTGAATCAAAATGGAACGTTATTCACTATTTATAAACGTGACTTTATTTACTGTACTTGAAGTGAACAATTAATGGTAAATGTCTTCACGGATTTTACAAATTCATTTGCAAAACGACAACATTTCGTGGAATTAAAGCTGCACCGTGTGCACTGTAAGCAAACCATCGTTAAGTTCAGTGGATGTTTTAAAACGCATCATATAAGCTGTGCAGAATCGCTTTTGGTGTAAGCCACACCCCCGGGGTGCGAACCAAGGAAATAATTTTCAAAAAGCAAATGCTCTTTTATTAGGAAATATATGGCTTGATTTAATTTAGAATAAAATCTGTGGCTTCCTTTAAGTAACAGGAGTGGTCAGACCAGCTAAAAGTTTTGTGACTAGACAGTACCATGGTTTCTCATGTAGCACCAGGTTTTCCAGGACATCTGTATGGGGTCGAAGGTCACACACATTCAGCAGCAACTTCCAACTTCATACTCTTCCAACTAATAATTACCAACCACTGTCCCAACGGCACATTAGTTTACCGCGGGAAATCATACGGTGTACGGTGGAAAATAATCATTTAGTAGATCATTAACTACTCGTCCACTAGGGGGCAGCATATAGCTATAAAAATAAAGATATCGTTGTGTTCAACTAAACAGGATCAGGTTTCACACAAGTATATGAAACGAAATATATATTTAATATATATAATATTTTATAACATTTACTTTTTCGTGTTTCGTGTTTTTATTAATTTTTATTTGTATTATTATTGTTCTGATTTATCTTAGCAACTTTCAACCACTGCAGAGATTATCTGCACCACGCGAGTGTTTGCCGTGGAACATCCATATGATTGTACGTGTCGGCACGTTCTATGGGTGTATACTGTTACAGCGCAACCTGGCGAGGTGTCAACGTGATCTGTAGAGATCTTAGTCACATCACTTAGTAGGTGTTGAGCACTTGAGGTGTGCGAGCAGCCATAGGTGGAAAGAAAAGGCTTTTGGCCTGCGATCATGCCTGTGCACGTGCTCACACGAGCCTACATGCCACTTTGAGAACAAAGCCTCGTACTGCAGACATGAAAGCTGAAGGAAAGGAATGAACTAATCAAAGCTGACAAGGCAGCTGGCTGGATATTAAATCCTCTCTGATGCAGAGTCACACGGTCGCGTAACCATTCACCCAGGTTTGGGGCACACACACACACACACACATACAGGGGAGGGTGGTGTACATTAGCATGAGGACCAGGACAAGGAAATGACAGGAAGAAAGGAAAGAAAAAAGGGAATATGGCAGTGAGTCAAACAGGTGTACAGAGGAGAGGGAAAAAAACAGAGACAAATTGGAACACAGATGAGGTTCCCCTGGCAAACACACTGGCTAATGCAGTTACCCAGAATGCCTTGTCAGAGTGGCACATCACTATAAAGATGCTTAATTTGTCAGTCACAAGTCTGTTATTATCCCCGGGCCTGTTATTACCCATACTTCTCTGGGATCAAAGGCATGGAGCAGGAAAAAGAGGAAACAATCTTTCTTTCTTTGGCTTTTTTTTAAAAAATCCAAATGGCTCTTTGGAGAGAGCGGATAAACATACTTGAGTTCTCAGACAGATTAGAGAATGGGAAAATAACTGAAGATAGAAGCACTCACTCGTCTACCTTTGCTTTAATTTGAATTTGAACGGTTTGTCAGTGTGAGCATCTATCTTCCTCTTCCTCTGTCTCAGAGCTTGGTTTGTGACAGTGTGACGTGATGTGGTTTTGATTTGTGTACAAGCAGCAACCCAAACTAACTAATGCTCACATGCTCAAATATGGACTAGAATCACATTAACTGATTAATAAAAATACTTCATTCTTCATTTTTAGGAACAAAGATAACGTTAGCACACACTTATGTTACTGTAAGACTCCCATGCTCATGCTAAGATGTGACCTAATGGTTGAATTCCAGCTCCTGAAATAGCTTGAAACTTAAGAAGTAATATGATAGTATTACATGTAGTTCTTAGAAGAAGTCTGAACTTTGGACTATAGTTTCTATAGAAGTTAAGCTCGGCTTTAAGCTTTAATCTTATGTATTTATCCATGTCACTTGTTTTTGCTAATGCTAAATAAATTGGACATTGACCAACAGGCTAATTCAAAACAAAGCCAAATCAATTATATGTTTCTGTAATTATAGGCAGTATTTCCAGAAAACTAACATTTCTTGATGTTGTTGTCTGTTTTGTCTATGTTTTTTGGTGAACCCCGCCTCCCCCTGCCCTCCCCCACCCCAGTCCTACTTGACATAGTGGCAGAGAAGTCGTTCTACCTGGCAAGCGTCTAGGCACGTCATTGATGGCAGGCAGGCCCGTGCCTCGGCTGGAGGACAGGGGGGTGGTGGAGTGGACTGAGGGGGATGCCATGGGACTCAGGTAGGACGGGTACGTCTGTTCATATGACCAGGGAGGAGGGGACTGGGACTGACGAGGGTCTGATGGGGGAGAAATCGGGCAAAAGCAGAAGGAGTGGAGAAAGGAAAACAGAACAGAGAGACAGAAGGAGGAAATGGGACAAGGGGAAGACAGAGAGAGAGAATAATTACCACCATCCACGGGTGAAAATGAAAAACTCCTCATTGGAAATGGAGCAAATTGACAAATAAGGTAAAATAACGACGGCAGACAATCAGCACTGTTGGGTTTTGCTGTGCATGCGGTCGGAGGTAAGTATCAGTTGGGCGCGTTATGCAACATCCTCTGTAATGACACATAATGTTTACTTTTGAAGAGAAGATCTTCCTGTTTGCCTTTTTAAAACATTGTGTGTGCAGCTGAGGCACAGAGAGCCGCGTTGGCACACTCCCAGGGCGTAAACACACCGGCTCACAACCATGAAAATAACCTTCACACAGACCTGACTCTGTGTGCACAACACAAGTACATATTTACAAGCTATATTTTTATGTTTTTGTTACACAAATGTATTGAGCCCACTAACAGATTTTATGGGTCATTTATGTGACCCATATACTACCATGCACTGTCTGTGGGATGGGCAATACCTGGGCAATACCTGGGCAATAACATAATAACTTGAGCAACATTTGTACAGTATTCTGATTTATTTATTTATTTTTTTACACCGATATTTTACTTTTTTTTACACAATACAAACTAAATAGTTTAATAGCAAAGATGTCTAATAGACTTGATCACATGCAGTCACTGCTTTCTTCTGTACAGTGGTCATGTGACATCAATGGTACAGTTCAGTTACAAAGTGCAGCACCAATCTTCGTATGTAGCAAGTTAACCTAAAATATGTGTTTTATTTTCTGCTGTTGTTTATTACCAATACTTTATGTCAGTCATCAATACTGGTGTGAGGAGTCAATATTCCCATCACTGCTGTCTGTGTCTGTCCTACAGTACAATCAAACATAATAACTTGAGCAACATTTGTACATATAAATGTGCTTTTGTCATATATTTTAATTTTGGTGCATTTTCCTTCCTGTATTTACCATAGTTTATCAAATTTAATTTCTAAGTAAGACGGTGAAAACATTGACTTTGTACGATCGTGAGTAAATGTGCCTTTGAAATTCAATTGCATTTCTTACTGCATCTGAGAAAAAAAAGTAAAAAAAAAAAAAAATAATAATGTTAGATGAAATAACAGACAATAAAGGAGTGAACTGCCACCTCTAATAACTAGTCATTGTTTACCCTCCTCTATAAGAAACAAGTTCATTCTTGAAGCTACAGCAGTAAACAGCACATTTGATGGTGCTGACAGTTGCGATCACATCATTTAACGCTTCTGCGGCGTCGGTGTTTTTACAACACCGGCACTTTCAAGGTCAGTCAAGGCATTCACCTGACACACAAACAAATAAACACAACTTAATAACTTAGAAATTGTCCATAAGTGGAAACACAATCGTTAAAATAGTAAAATGACTCAAGTAAAACATGTCAGCACTTGAAGCAGGTATCAATAAACACTGTGGGTTCAGGATGAATCATCTCACTGCGGTGGTGACCATCATGGGTGGCAGACAGGAGGAGTATAAACACTCATAAAACCTATTACACCTGAACAGGCGTGGGAGATGATTCAGAGAATTCGACTTTTCAGGAAAATAAATTATAGGAGGTTCTGGGTTTTTACGACTTTGATTAGATTCACAGGTTGTACGTCATACATTATTTGTTCTTCATTATGGCTCCCAAGCACAAGTCAGACTGTTCTGATGTTTTTATGACCTAGATTACGATCTTAGCACTGTGTTAGCATAGCTGAGTGACACAGGTACTTACGAACAGTTCCGACATGGTTAAAAAGTCGTAGAACCGTAAGAACGAAAAAGTCAATGCACTTTGTTTTTTATTTGAAAATTAATTAAGTAATTTTTAATAATTAGTAATTTTTAGAGTGCTGTACAGTATAATCCAGTTTGAATAGTTAATTTTTCCCACACACGCAGTACAGGCTTGATTTTATTTCCTCTGAGGCTACGAGCTCCGAGCTGATAGTACATGATGATACATAATATTTCCAGGTGTTGACAATTCAGATTAGGTTTTTGACAGTTTTGCGGTATTTTGCTTTGAGATTAGCAATTCTAATTATAGCTCTTATCTAGCCCTTAACAGAAAAACACACATACACCCCCGAGGAAATCAGTTTATTGCTGAGTTATATAAAACAGGCTCAGGTAAATATGCCTTTTCATTAGTGAATATCATTTATACACCTACCCCAGGGTGGCAGTAGCAACAGTGTATTTTTAAGTCCCTATCATAATGATGCGGGAATAAATATATTTGGATTGGCCTAGAAAAAAAAATCTCTTTAGTACGTTAGTTCGTATGAATATATTGCGACACATTGCTTGTGCTAATTGTGTCTATTCTCTGTCTTGGATTACGATTAATGCTATTCTAAAATCCGACTTTCTGCTTCAAATTTCCGAACATGGCTGTGAATTTGAACTGGACTGTGTTTTGCATGTTCTCTCCACTACAGTTCCCAGCTGCCTTTTGTTTCCCATTTGCAAGAAGACACAGCCACACCTAGAACTCAGTCAACTATTTGCAAATGTTGACAATGCAGATTAAGTCTGTACAGTTTTGTGCTGTTTTGTTTTTAGAGGATTGTCAAATTATAAAGACAATTTACATCTAATATGCAATGGAAAAAAACTCCTAAACAAAACACCAGCAGGATCTCACAAGCTCCTTCCACACAAACATACGAGTAATGAACTATTGAATCAGGTGACTTGAATGATATGAATCAGGTATTTGTTATGACACGTCCTCAGAAGAGCTTTACAATCTAGAACAGAATCTAGAATCTAAATCTTCCGGGATGGAACAAATACTGATACTGATTCAACAATACTGCTACTACCAGTATTATACGTTCCAGTATTTCTGTAATCGTACGCAGCATCTGTCTGTGATAATGTCTTATGTTTGTCATTGTGCTATTTTTAGTGTTTCATCACGACATGTTTGGATTTGTAGTTGCGATAGTGAGATGACGGATGTAAATCCCTGTGCTTTTCTATTCTGTTAGGCCTGGAGACAAAGGCCTTTGGGCCAAAACGGCAGCTGAAATGACGCGACAAAAGCAAAACTCTGCATATGCAAATGTTTTCACAAACGTTATCTAGCTGCATAAAGAGATGACAGGTGCAGGTCTTTGGAAAGGTCTGGAATTTACTCATTTTATTTGTGAAATGACTTAAGTAGTTGCTAGGTAGTATAAAAAAAGGTAAGTGGGCAAATGGTTAAAAAAATTGCCAAAAATAATGACAAACAATTGGACAGAGTTAAATAATAAATCGATTGATTTAAAAAAAAGAAAAATAAAGTACAAAATAAAGCTAGTAATAAACCAACAATGAATCTGATCCCAAATTTCACTGGCACATTAAAAGTAGTTTACTCGCAGTGAATCAACCCTGTGTGTAAATCTCTCTGCTCATCGCTGCTTAACTAAGCTGCTTAACCATCCCGCAAATGATCCACTAAGTAAGACTACAAAGTCGTGCCAGAAAGTAACTAAGAGGTAAATGACGACCTGCGATGAGCCTGCAGAAGTGTGAGCGATCGGGTGGCAGCCACCCTCAACCGTGACAGATGGGGTTACCTTCTAGGATGTAACCGATAGAACGCAGAGAGGCGGGTGACCTCAGAGGCAGCGTTCAAATACCACACCGGGCCTTGGGTGGCATAAACTGCTGGACGTGCCCACGGCTCCGGTTGAGGGTTTGATATTTCACCTTAGATACAGTAAATGCATCTCTGTTTGCTTGGACTCTGAGCCTTGTTTTATTAAAGTTTGATGGAGAGTGTAGATACTTACTGGACTCTTTAATGATGCAGAATTACACTTGCCTTTGTGTATTTACTCTCAAAGATTTTCTTTTAAACAACCTTCTCACATGGAGCGAGATAAGTAAAACTAACTCCTAGAGGACGTTCAATTATTTTAGTTTAGAATCAGATAAAAGTACAGCAGTATTTCAGAATAAGGTTGCTATTGCTATAATGTCATATTAATATATACTTTTTAATTTGTATACCTTTATATTTATATATGTTTATAATATATATATATATATTTATTCCTATCCGAAAGCGCCAATTATTATTATAATTTAAATCTCAGGTCAAAGTTTTGACACAGCGCCAAGCACAATGTAGGTCAAGTGCTTCGGCTGTTGGTTAAAAAATAGGTCAGTTTTTAACGAGGGTATTAATTAAGAAAAAGAAAATCCTGGTTCAGCTTAGAGGAAGTAGAAAAAGAAAAATTCAAATTGTATTTTGGGGCTAAAAATAAAACACGATGTGATACTTTTTCCTTCTAGATGCGAACATGTGTAACTGATCCCGTTCTCTAATTCTATTTGTATGCGAATGGTTCTGCAGTGACTGCATTTCAAACTAAATTCAAATGACTCATGACAGCTAATCATGTCGTACTTAAAGCTGTACATAATCCACACGAGAGCAAACAAACAGCTTAATGCAGCTGTGCATTCAGAGGCTCACGTCCTAAATCCCAAATCCCCAAAGAATGTCAGTGTGGATGTTGGTGATGCTGACCTGTTATCTGTGTCTGGCCCTGTGGGTTAAAGGAGTTGGCTGCTGTATTTAGGGTGGGCCGAGGACCTTGGGTGGGAACGCTGACCCTCACCCTCATCCTCTCCAGCTCACTCAGGCGGTCTGAGAAGAGACCGGCCTTGGGAGGGTCCTCCAGCTTTTGACGATGCCCTGCAGAGACAAAACATTTTTTCCAAGATATTGAGGATTAAGAAATAAAGCCTGTCGTAAATTTCAGTGGTAACGACACATGCCGGCGCTTTCATTGTATTGATGCTGTGATGTTGCATGAGTCGATGCCGCCGCACACTGTGTGGCTAATGATCTCCACTTGTTTGCAGCTGTCCTGGCATTCAGTTCTGACAGTTATCTTTTGTAAAGAACATTTACTGTCTAACCTCTTATGTGTGCCAGGCCTAACTGTGTAAATATATTTAGTGCCACTGGAACAAAGAGGAGATACAGAGGCTGTTAACAACGGAATGCTACATCCTGCTAATTATCTGGCAACATTATAGGTAAGAAAAAGAAGCGATAGATAGATAGATAGATAGATAGATAGATAGATAGATAGATAGATAGATAGATAGATAGATAGATAGATAGATAGATAGATAGATAGATAGATACAGAGAAAGAGAGAGAGGGAGGGAGGGAGGGAGAGAGATTCTAAGAGAAAACAGTTGCATGCATTACGTTAGTTTTAACCTGAGGCTTCTTCCTCAGGTAAACACAGCCTGTCACGCCATTCCTCAATTATCCCCACAGGAGCTGAGGCCTATGCCAACTCTATTATACCCCTTCCCATCCAGCGTTCCTCTGTTGATAATTTTACACATTATTATACAATCTGAAAATGCTCGTTCTATTCCAGTCGTCCTTTGAGACAAAATGTGCAGCAACACGGCGCACAAACGCCCGTGCGTCTGCCTGGTCGTGCACTAGTTCCCCTGTAAAGGTGGTAAAATAAATATCATAGAGAAGGGAGCAGAGAAAACTGCTGCTGTCCTTGGCAGAGCTCCATGGTAAAAACAACGAGCTTCTACAGAATCCTGCTTAACCTGTCTGGGCTAAGAACAAAGACCGAGAACTACACCTATGCTGCTGCTGCTCGGCTGATAGTGAGGGAGAGGAGAAGCATCGATGGAGTGTTGGAGAAGAGTTTGCATGCCGGAGTGTTGTGTTGCATTGTAGAATAAAAAAAGAAAAGAAAAAAAAAGCCACAAAAATTCTTTAAAGACCAGAAAACTCTTGCATCTCATTGTCTGCACTAATGAAAATATGAAGAACATTTCGGCCTATAAAATGGCCTCATAAACCATGTTGCACTTATGCAGCAAATGACTTTATTCTGGAACGGATGATTGGAATTTCTATAACAAATATTTCTGCCTTTGAATAAGACACTAGACTGGCGGCGGCCGGTGACAGACGAAGATTTTTATTACAATGACGTTGAGTGAACTGACATCATATCCAGTTCAAAGTAAACAGACCTCACAGTCTCATCATCTGCTCCTCAACATAGTTGCTCTGAAACGTGGAATAATAACATTGGCTACTTAAGAGACTTCATAACGTTCGCGTCCACGTGTCATTTATAATATCCCCTCATCCCTTTTGCAG